GAGACTCCTGGCCATTCTTGCTACCAGTTGTTTCTCTTCTGGTGTAAAAAAGGTAAAGAAAAAGGTAAAGGACCCCTGACAGTTAAGTCCAGCTGCAGACGACTCTGGGGTTGCGGCGCTCATCTCGCTTTACAGGCCGAGGGAGCCGGCGTTTGTCCACAGACAGTTTTTCTAGATCATGTGGCCAGCATGATAAGCCGCTTCTGGTGCAATGGAACACCAAAACCAGAGCAGCGCATGGAAACGCCGTTTACCTTCCCGCCGGAGCGGTGCCTATTTATCTACTTGCACTTTTTGGCATGCTTTCGAACTGCTAGTTGGCAGGCGCTGCGACCAAGCAAAGGGAGCTCACCCCGTCGCGGGGATTTGAACCGCCAACCTTCCAATCGGCAAGCCCAAGAGGCTCAGTGGTTTAGACCACAGCGCCATCTGTGTCCTCTCTTCTGGTGTAGTTCTCATCCATTTTGAACCACGTGGGAGACATTTCAGGTGAATTGCTCCCCTTACGGGTGTAACACTTTCTACAGAATCACAATGGAATCACAATGCTCCTATGAATCTGGTCACCGTTCTACTTATAAATATCAACAAATATTTTCTTACTAGATAGGTTCCTTTCTAAAATAACCATCCTTCTGTACTCTTTCCTGACCATTCCCTTCAGTCTCTTTAAAAGCATTGCTGATGTCCCCCCCCCCACCTTAGTGGGTTTAAAACATCACTATTCTGGGTCACCACTGCATGTTTCTTGGCTGCAACAAATGAAATTTCATTATCTCTGGTCACTGATTTGGCTGTCTCCCAAAGCAATTTTACATCAGTCTCTCCGAATGGCTGCGTTGCCCATAAAAAGTACAAATTTAATCTGTTTGGAAACATTGTATATTCATGGTTACAAAGGAAAAGACAATGGAAATGAGATAGCTCTTAGCTCCCGGGGTGGCTTTAAAAATTTATGTGAATCTAGACCTATCACACGGGCATGGAATAAAAACAACACTAACTGCACCATTGCATATTTTGGAATGCACTTATCTTTTTTCAGGCTTTAATGGTCTTTTCAATAAGTAAAAGACAAAAATTCAAGTGGTCAGCCTGGATGTGGAGAGCGGTGGGGGAGAAATTTGGGTCAGTTTCCATTTTAATGCAAACAAACCCAGTTTGCAGTTCCTGAAGTGATACATGAACCAAATCTCCACTATCCTTTGAAAGTCACACGCCTCTGGATTGTGTGGTAGAGTTCTCTAACCAACTTGTAAAAATGCATACATCAGGGAAAAAGAAAACTAAAATGCTGCTGAATTTTCTGGAATGCTTTTCTTTTTTCATTTTTAATACGAAGTCATGTAGAAATGTGGCAAACTAAAACTTAACATAGGAAAAATGAGAAACAGAAACCAAAATTAAGAGATTTGCCCATCTTTAGGTGTGGGGTAGTAATGGAGAAGCCTACTTGAAAGTCCTATTGTGCAGATAGCAGCCACGTGCTACATGCCTTGGTGTTATCCATGTACTTTGGAGAGCCTTCTCCCAATTTTAGTCAGAATGCCAGCTGCATCACCTTCTGGGAATAAAAAATGGCCTTTAGGCTCAGAGATTTCTGGCTTAATTTCTATTCTGTGTTATATGTGAGGGTGCCTTGGGGAACATCAGCTGTTACAGAGCACTTCCAAAGTGGTAGCTGTGTTAATCTGCAGCTGCAGAAACAACAGAGTTCTGTAGCAACTTTAAAGACTAGCTGTCACGGTCTGGTCTACGGGCAATCGAAGTCCCGGCTGAGGACGTTGGGACCGGGGGCAAGATGGCGGGGTGGGAACAGGAACGAGAGTCCAGAAGCCAGGGGTCCGAGGGTCAGGAAGCAGGGAGTCACGAAGTCAAGGGTCCAAGGGTTGAGAAGCAAGGAGTCACAAAGTCAAGGGTTTCCGAGAGTCAAGAAGCAAGGAGTCAAGGTCCAAGGATCAGGAAGCAAGAAGCCAAACCAGCAAGGCAGGAAACGAGTTGCTGTGGCAAAAGGACGAAGGGAAATAATGACCTTATATCCCTTCCCGGCTCTTACCACCAGGTGCAGTGAGTTACCAAGCAGCCTCACCTGCGCTCCAGAACAAACTTAGGAAGGCCCCAGTCCTGCGAAGCCCTACTGGTCAGAGGGCCTGGCTCCTGCGCGCACTCCTGACACTAGCCAGTTTATTACGATATATGCTTTTGTGGATCTGAGCTCACTTCATCAGATAGACAGAGCATTATCAGGCTGCTGCTATGTATACGCATGAATGCAGAAGCAGGGGAAAGAGAAGTTAGCAGTAGGATCAAATACCTCCCAGTGCAGGAGTGGTACGCCCTGTTTTGCCAAGCAAGGCACCTCGTCGCTCACCCCATCTCCTACTCTGGAGAAGCAGCGCTGGCAGTGGCACCAGTTTCTGGCAAGATCCTGCCAAAATCTCACCAAGACCTTGTGCACTCTGCGAGATCTTGAGAGATTTCAGTGAGATCTCAGCAGAAGATGGTGCCACTTCCCTGGGTGGGCTGCCCATGTTGATGCTGCCTCTGGCACTTCCACCACCCGAGGCAGCTGCTTCACTCTGCCTCATGGGTGGGCCAGCCCTGAGCTGGTGCAGAATACACAATGTGACAAAACAGGATTGAGCGCTACTATTTTCAATAGGTCTACTCTGAGCAAAATGAAGTTTGAATGCCACCCATGACTGGTGGGTGGTGCCCACTGGGATGGGTTAAGCAGAATACAGGGAGACCAATAGTTGGTGCAGCCAGAACAAACTAATTCTAGTTTTACCCCACAATTCTCCATGCTGAGTTATATAAAGGCAGCACTGAGGCCAAGGGAAAGGAAGCAGTGCCATTCCCTGGAATGAAGGGAAGAAGGCAGCCAGGCAGGCAGGTGAGGGCTGGCTGAGAACAGGCTGAGGTTGGTATAATGGGAGAGTCCCCCCCGGCTGCAGGCAAATCCTTCTTGACATAATCTGTATTGGATGTCTCACGTTGCTGTTTTGTATTGGGGGGAAAAAAACATTTCCAAACATCTCAATACCTTTTAATCCTGTTAAGTGCAACCATGGGAAGTGTATGGCAACACAGCTGGTATAATTGTGCTAATGCCACAAATGGGGGGAATGAATGTCCTGCAGCTCTAATCACAGAGCAGAGGGAACGCTGAAAAGGTGAAATGCACAACTGAAGCAGGAGCGCTGCTTAAAAAAGGAGTATGTTGGATGTTTTAAGCAACTCGTTGATACAGCCTGTGTGGTTAAGCGTGCGCGTGTACACACACACGCACACGTCATCCTGTTCCTATAACTTTTTGTTCTTCTTCTTGTTGTTGTTGTCATCTGTCTGTCTTGAGAGGCAATGGAGTGTGCCTATGTGGGTGAAGTCAAACCACTGCATTAGCAGTACCGAAGTGACCTCCCTGGGGCGCAAGCCTGAGAAGTGTGTGTGTAGGTTTTGAGCTGCCCAGAAGATAAGACCTCCCTCTCAGCCTCGCTGATGTGGTCCAAAGGAAAGCAGAGTGATATGTTTGGCACCAGCTGAACCGGGATAACTGTCCCATTGGGATCTCCTAGCTCAATAACTTCCAAGGAACCTGAACCCAATCCCATTCTACTCCACTTCATAATGAGGTCTGCCCATTTTACCGGTTCACTCAGAGTCTAGTAAGCATCCTTGGCTCTCTTGACATCTTTGGCTAAAGAAGATGGGCTTTATTCTGGCTATCCTCTTTGGAAGCCATTTCATTATTCTCTGCCAGAAGCAAGCCAAAGCGAGCCATCAATAAATCACACTGATTAAGTGAACTTAGAAGAAACAGGAACTGCACAGCAACTCTTCTTCAGTAGATTTTGCCCCTATGAGTTGTGGAGCCTGAAGGTCCCTGTCTTCCCACAACTGCCTAAGTCTCCTCTTCCCCAGGCTCTTTTTCAAGCAATCTGAGACTATGCCAGTGTGCCTGTCTTTGCTGCTCCCACTTCATACCTCTCCTGGTCCTAAGAGGCTGGGGTGGGGAGAGGAGCTTGTTAGAAGAAGAGGGGGAGACCTTCTGGCTTCTTCACCAGCCTGACTCATCTCTGAATCTTGGATCCGCTCCTCTCCAGCCTCTGCTTCTGCCTCTGCTTCTGGGCTGCTCTCTGCCACAGCCTCTTCCTGCTCACCAAACCTTGTTATCTCTTCAGCTTCTGACACCACCTCTTCCCTCTGACCACTCACCACTGTCCCACCACCAATCCCCTGGCTCTGAGCCTTCTTCCCTTGGGGGTTCCCCAGCTGGTTCCCCCCAACATTCCTCTGTGTCCAGCTAGTCCATGACATCCTCGCATTGTTCCTGATGGCTGGGGACAAACAAGTTCCAAAGACTGCTTAGAGCAGCTAATAACCCATTAATTATTTTCATTCACCATATCAAGAAGAAAGCAATTTCTCAATTCTCCATGACGGAAAACCAGAGTGTTTCTGGAAAAATCAGGACATGTGTGCAAAAACCAATAAAATGCCAGTTTATAAATTTAATTAGGGGGAGGGACTCCTTCATTGTCTTTTTTTCCTAAGTAATTTTTTTCCCCGTTCCCTGGGGAACCATTCTGTTACTTGCTCAATTTAAAAAGCAATACGTTTTGCCCTACAATTGCTGGTTTAGCTGCTGGACATGTGTAAATACTACGCTGGCGAATGCATGAGATGAGTCTCGCAGCAGGGTTCATAAATGGCAGGGACAGAGGGACCAATTTGGTGTCTTCTCTTGTATTGAGGTTTTGAGGCTGGCTATTTAGTTCCCATGCTTCCTTTTTAAAAATAAGGATGTTGCTTCTTAGGGGAAAATAACCGGTATGAGAGGCTGTTTATTTCCTAGTATTAAACAGAAGCACATGAGGGGAAGGACAGTACTCAGGTAAGCAAATAATAATGGGAGTTTGATGTGTGATGTGAACAGGATCATACCACGGCCAAAGAAGGTGTGTGAAAGATGCTTCAGACTCCTGCATTATGCTGAAATGTCAATGACAACCAAATCATTCCCAATAATTTGTGTGAAAGGCAAGTCAATTCATGTAACACTTCTAGCTTATATTGCAGTTTGGCATTCTGCAAATTGAATTTTACGAGGCTATTAAAGAGAAGTGCCATTTCGGAGGTGCAAAGTTATTTCTGTGCAATGCCCGGGGGGAGGGGAGACTTGAAATTGACAATGGTTTGTGAGGCTGCATTATAGCTCATGGTTTAACTCTAGTCTAGGGCAGTGTCAGGCTTCCGGGAATCAGATCCTTCCCCCGGTGGCAGCAAAGAAGCAGATAAAAAGGGGAAGAGTTCTTACCAATTAGTTTATTCTAATTGGCGAGCACTTTATGCTCCCAACCCCCACAGTTATAATTCGTAGGTTGCCATATGATTCTATTTTGCTTTTAACCTAATTTTAAGCTGTGTTTTAATCGATTGTTTGACTTAATGTTTTAGTGTATTATATATTTTGATGTTAGGGACACAGGTGGCACTGTGGGTTAAACCACAGAGCCTAGGGCTTGCCGATCAGAAGGTCGGTGGTTCGAATCCCCGTGATGGGGTGAGCTCCCGTTGCTCAGTCCCTGCTCCTGCCAACCTAGCAGTTAGAAAGCACGAAGTGCAAGTAGATAAATAGGTACCACTCCAGCGGGAAGGTAAACAGCGTTTTCGTGCGCTGCTCTGGTTCGCCAGAAGCGGCTGAGTCATGCTGGCCGCATCACCCGGAAGCTGTACGCCTGCTCCCTTGGCCAATAAAGCGAGATGAGCGCCGCAACCCCAGAGTTGTCCGCAACTGGACCTAATGGTCAGGGGTCCCTTTAGCTTTACCTTTTATATTTTGATGTTAGCCTCCCTGAGCCCGGCCTCGCCGGGGAGGACAGGATATAAATAAAATTTATTATTATTATTATTATTATTATTCAATAACCGCAGCGAGAAACAAAGGAATGCGGTCTCTCTCTAGAAATGGCGTTGCTCCAAGTAAAGCCCCCCCCATTCTACATCAGTCCTGTACCAGCTGATCTGAGCTTTCTGCCGCTGAGCTCTCTGTTCTACTACCCTCAATGCCTGTCTGGTCCCGGGAGAAGCAGAGTCAGGAATGCTTTCCAAGGACACTGAGTCTGTCAGCTGTCTCCCCCCGGCACTTCTTCTTCTTCCTGCTGTTCCTCTTCCAATATTTCCCAGCTTCTGCCCTCTGTAGCCTCTGAACTCTGAACCCTTCTGCAAACCACTGATCTAAATCTATACTGTCCTCCTGTTCTTGGGAAGGTTCAGGAGAAGTGGGGCAGCCCCCACCGTTCCTCCTCAGTCCAGCCCCTGACAGGCAAGTATCACCAACCTTTGTAGAACCAGGGCCCACTTTTAACCCAACCAAACATTTGTGGACCCATTTCTTAATCTGTTACTAAATTTTTGCATGGTGGTAGGGCTAGGGTTGCCATGCATCCTCTTTTTCCAGGACATGTCCTCTTTTTCAGGGGTAAAATTTCTGTCTGGGTGGATTTTTTAAATTTGCCAAAATGTCTCTGGCTATACTTTCTGGATGAGACATAGACATACGGTAACTGGTGGCTGAAGACCTGCTTTCCTCTTCTCTTCCCCTGCCCCTCTCAGCAATATATCATAGCTTCTATAGCCTACATATTGTAGAGGTATCTAAAATGAGAGTCGTCATAGCACCCTCTTTTTTTGCTCTTCAAAGTATGGCAACCCTAGATAGGGCTCTTGTTGAGAGTGCTTAGTGCACAATTTATATTCAAAAACATTACTTGGGGGGGCAGGTGGGGAGGAGAGGCTGACTTAGGCAATTAGTTACCATGGTCTCACAAGGCTTTCCATGGTTTCCTAGTTATTTAGCAACTATGCATGACACCTAAATGCATTTTAAATTTTAATTTTTAACCAGATTTCAAACATAATCCTGGGCTTATAGATGCTAAGATCCAACCCAAACTATATGTGAATAAGCCCAATAAACCTGTTGGAGCAAACATAGTAAAGCAACAGGTGGGGAAAAGCAAAACAAAACATTGGCACTCTGAGGCACGAATCTGGCAATCAAGCCACTGTGCAAATGATTTGAAAGCAACTGTGTTGGGCATCTTGGGATATGAGTTAAGGTGAACGCGAGTGTCTGGGCTGAGATCCAGCACTGGCTCATTAGTATTCCAATATCACATCCAAAAAATGAAGGAGAATAAAAGATGAGACCAGAGTGGGAAGAAGAGTAATGACAATAATAGCATGCTGTTTCTTCAAGTATTGAGCAATTTGTCCTGCTGCCCCCCACCGACCCAAATCCAACCTCAGACTAGTTATGGTAAATAGCCTGTTGTGTTCTTTACATGCCTCCACACATGATATCAGAGTAGGAAACAGGCGTGCATTCTAAAGACGGGGATTGCAACCAAAGCGGCCCATTCTCCAGCCGTCTCCTGCCCCAGGTTGTTTTCGCCTGTTTTGGAGGCTAGGACCCAAACCAATGCATTCAAGTTACAGCTAAACACCAGGAAGAACTTTCTGACAGTAAGAGCTATTTGACAGTGGAACAGACTCCCTCAAAAGGTGGTGGACTCTATTTCACTGGAGGCTTCTAAGCAGAGGTTGGATAGCCACCTGCCATGGATGCGTTAGTTGAGATTCCTGCATTGCAGGGGCCTGGACTAGATGACCCTCAGGATCCCTTCCAGCTGTACGGTTCTATGATTCTATATATATATATATATACACATTTTTATTCATTTTTAACATATCATTTCCAACAGTCATTTAACATACGTTCTTATCTTATACAATATTTTAGATTTCCATCAACTACCTCTGAAGATTTTCCGTTCTGTATCACTTAATCTGCATTTCTTAATTTATTACTTTTAATTGTCCTTAACTAATGATTCTCTTCATAGTCTTCCTTGCAATCTTTCACATAATCCTCCTTACAAAACTTCTTGCAGTCCTACTAGCGTAATCTGTTTAGTACAATTGCTTTTCAAATAGTTCAAATATTTTCTCCAGTCCTCTAAAAATCTCTGGTCCCGCAGGTTTCAAATCCTTCCTGTCAGTTAGTCTTATTCTGCATAGTCCATTAATTTCATTTGCTACTCTTCTTTCGATGGCAATTCTTCTTGTTTCCATTTTTGTGCTAATAATAAGCTCTATGGTTCTACGATTCTACCTTTCTAGTATAATGGTCTGGCACACTGTCTATCTGCATAGACTGAGAGGAGGAAAACAGGGCTGCATTGAGAGAACTGAACTTGTGAGAACTGTACTTATTGAAGGTCTACATCAGGGGGAACCTGCAGCCTTTCAGATGTCCTTAGACTCTCACTCCCATCAGCTCCAACCAGCATAGCCAATGGACAAGGATGATGGGAGTTGTAGCTTAATAACATCTGGAGGGCCACATTTTTCCTACACTTGGACTAGAGTGTGCTCCTTAGCTTTTGACATGGACTTTAGAGACAACTTCTGCAGATTAATTTATGGTCTCACTGTGTTTTTCTTTTTTCTTTTCTTTTATTGATACAACAAAAAAGGAAAACACAGATACAGAATTACACACAAGAATAACAATGAACACAAAATTTTCTTAACAAACAATAAAACATAAGTTGGTCTTAACACTATAGACCCCACCTCCTGTCTATTCCTTATTTCAATTTCATATTACTTATTGCCAATACACACTTTTATCATAATTTAACTTTTTCTTAATATATCTTAACTCTTATGTCTAACTTGCAACTATTACTGAATTTCCTTGAATGCTGCAAAAGAGTTTAAACTACTGCAATTATATTTCAAATATTCTTTGAAAACCTCCCATTTTGAAACAAACTCCTGTTTTGGTTTATTCTTTATTTTTTCTGAGAGATCAGCTAATCGTGCTTGTGTTTTTCTTTGGTTTCCATTACGTTAAAAAATGCAGATGTGAATGATGCACCCTTCCTGGCACTAATTTAAATATTGTAACTCATTCTCAGAAATGTGTAATGACCTTTCCCATTCAGAAAGGTTTTGCTATTGGTAACAGTTCATTGGGGGGGGGGGATGGATGAGAAAGGGGTGGAAGATACTTCCTTGTTTGCTCAGTTGATACATCTGGCAGATTCAGCCTATCATTTTCCAACCATTTTGTAAAACGTTGTGGCTGCAGACAAAGGTCAGCAGCTATTACTGTTAACCATTATAGTGATGAGTGTGTATTTTTATTTGCATGTCATTAAAATGGTGTTTAGAAGCATTTACCCTATACTAGATGACAACGTAGCATGACATGCTTTATTTCAGGGGCATACGTGGAGCCTGGTTTGAATTATAAGTAAGGATGTTATAAATTTCCCTCTGCATCCAGCATTGTTGACTCATCTGCCCCTAGTAAAAAATGGCATTATGGAAATAGCTTGGTCATGATAGGCACAGATTCCGTAAGGGAGGAATTTCCTGTGCTCTTAATAGGTGTGCAGAACAGAGGATCTTGGCTAGGAAATAATAATTTAATTATAACCACCTGGCTGGTTTTCCCCAGCCACTCTGAGAGGCTCCCAACAGAATATTAAAAACACCAAACATTAAAAACTTCCCTAAACAGGGCTACCTTCAGATGTCTTCGAAAAGTCAGATAGTTGTTTATTTCCTTGACATCTGATGGGAGGGTGTTCCGCAGGGAGGGTGCCACTACCAAGAAGGCCTTCTGCCTGGTTCCCTGTAACCTCGCTTCTCACAGTGAGGGAACCTACAGAAGGCCCTCAGAGCTGGACCTCAGTGTCCAGGAATTTGGGGGTCTCCTGCTCAAACAGCAGCTCTCTATCAGACAACCACCTTTGGAAGTGTGAAAATTTTCAAAAGCAGTTCACAGTATAGCATGGGGTAGAGTTGGGCGATCCCTGGTTTTCAACATGGTGATATATCGCAATGTCTGAAATAAGGATGGAGCTATGCAGAGACATTGACAGGCCCACTGCTTTTCCCACATTGTGATTTTTGCCAGTGGCTGCTCCTGTGATTCGCTCCTGCATGAGGCAGGGGAGAGCTGAGCTGGCAGAGTTAACAAGGGCTGCAGGAATTGAGAGAAGCATTGGCCAGCTTCACGGTTCTCCCCACATTGTGATTTTTGCATAGCACACACACGTCATGTGTGGTCAAAAATTATGAAACCGATATCGCAATATGAACTTCAAACCGATTCTGGACGATATATCGATACAGTCGAACCTTAGTTCCTGAACAGCTTAGTTGCCGAACGAATCGGCTCCCGAACGCCGCAAACCCGGAATTAAGTGTTCTGGTTTGCAAATGTTTTTCCGGAAGCCAAATGTCTGACACGGCTTCTGCTTGAGTGCAGGAATCTCCTGCAGCCAATCGGAAGCCACGCCTTGGTTTCTGAACGGTTTTGGGAGTCAAACGGACACCCAGAACGGATTACGTTTGAGAACCAAAGTACCACTGTATATTGCCCATCCCTAGTGGTGCATGAGAAGAAATGCTGTTCAGTTAAAACAGACAAATCAAGAAATTCACTCGACATACCCAAGGACTCCACAGTTAGCTTTTCGGATGCTGATGCCTGACTGGTTAATTTCATCCATCACAGAGCAACTTCAGCTTAGCCAGAGCAGATCTTCAGTGATGTGAAGGGTCACACAAGGCACTAACTTTTCCGCAATTATTAAATGCATTATATTGGGTGAATCTAATTATATCTCTATGTCGCCCTTCTCCAACCTTGCGGCCTCTACATGTGTTAGACCACAATCCCCAACACTCCCAGCCAAAACAGCCAATGGCCAGGGATGGTGGAAATTGTAGTCCAAACATTTTGAGAGGCACCATGTTTGGGAAGACGCTTAAACATTACATGCTTATTCACCCTCCCCCTGGAAACATGCTAGGATTAGTGCATATGACAGTAATGCCATGTGTCAAACACCAAATGTACATAATATTTACTCCAGTCCATTGGGATAGTTCTCTTCAAAATGTGTAGCATTACATATTCTCTCTTAAGTGGCTCATGCAGAGATTATTAAAGCACAAATTAGAAATATACCCTTTGAAAACATCCTCCAGAAATAAATTGTATACATGTGTAATGTTATATCTATCATATCAAAGTCATAATTTGGGAGAGGGAGGTGAGGAGGTGGGGGAACAAGAAGAGATACATTTAAACTAAATTCCTGCTGTTCCAGATTATCTGAAATGACCTGAGATGTAGTTCAGAAATGGATTGAATAGGATGCTGTGTATTTTGGCTCAGTCCTTAGAAGCAAATGCTTCTATAGTGGTGAAAAGCTAGAAGGGGAGATTAAAAAAAAATTCTGCTCTTTACCAGTTAGCCCTGCAGCAGTTTACCATTCAACAGCAGATAAATAGCTCTTCTGAATCCTGCAGGCTAGAGTGCATTAGTTAAACAAACAGATAATGAATGTGGAAGAATTCAATTCTAGTGTCTGGACTCCTCCTCAACACCCTGAAGACTCTATGGAAATAAGTAGGGAAATTATCCTTTAATGTGACACTCAGAAGCGCTACCCGAAGGCATAATTGTCTTACCAGTGATTCTGCTGTTGTCTTTTCAGTGTACAAAGACACCTGGAGATGCATAAATACTCGTCGGTTTGAATCCACAGCTGCCTTTCTATTATAAACTAGACACTCTTGCATCAGAGTCACACCATACATTTAAAGCACATGGCTTCCCACAAAGACTCTGGGGAACTGTAGTCTGTGAAGTGTGCTGGGAATTGTAGCTCAGCGAGGAACAAACTACAGTTCCCAGAATTCTTTGTGGGGAAACCAGCATTTTAAATGTGCACCGTTTGGATGTGATGGTGGACTTGCAAACTCGACTTTCTGAAATTTGAGCTCTTCGTTTGATTATTGATTATTTAAAGGATAACATATTTCATTTCACTTTTCATTTGTAGGAAGTTGGGTTATTGAACCACTGATCAATCTCTACTTGAACTGAACAGAAACTCATTGAGTCCCTTTATTTATCTGTTATAGTTGAGTCTGATCTGTACTGGTTAAACTTCCTGTTTAGATGATGGTATGGCTTAAGTGGTAAAACATTTCCCTACACTGGAACAACTTGTACCAATTTATTTAGGATAAATTTGGGGTGTTGTTTGTTTGTATTTGTTGTGGGGCGTTGTTGCTGTTGTTGCAGATGGTTTTTTGTATCTTTATTTTAGATATTGTGATATATGTGGAAATTGTTCAGGTTGGTTGCGTATTTTTCGATGTTGTATTTATTGTTTATTACTACTAAGTTGTGGGACGCGGGTGGCGCTGTGGGTAAAACCTCAGCGCCTAGGGCTTGCCGATCGCATGGTCGGCAGTTCGAATCCCCGCGGCGGGGTGAGCTCCCGTCTTTCGGTCCCAGCTCCTGCCCACCTAGCAGTTTGAAAGCACCCTTAAGTGCAAGTAGATAAATAGGGACCGCTTACTAGCGGGAAGGTAAACGGCATTTCCATGTGCTGCGCTGGTGCCGGCTCGCCAGAGCAGCTTCGTCACGCTGGCCACGTGACCCGGAAGTGTCTCCAGACAGCGCTGGCCCCCGGCCTCTAGAGTGAGATGAGCACACAACCCTAGAGTCGGACACGACTGGCCCGTACGGGCAGGGGTACCTTTACTTACTACTAAGTTGTAGTCAGTGCTTTTTTTCTGGAGGGTACGCATACCCTAAACTTTTTGTGAATCTAATTTTGGCCTCATTGAGGGGCAGTATTTCAATATGAGTAGGAAAATGCAAGTACCCCTAAACATTTTTTTAGCAAAAAAAAAAAAAAAGCACTGGTTGTAGTCATGTATTTTTTTATATTGTAAGCTGCCTCGGGCATACTTTGAACTGTGGAAAGGTTGTATGCATGTATGTATTGAGTCCAGCTGCTTAATTTATTTTTAAGTTATCTAAGGTATCTAAGGTATCTGGACCAATTTGGCAATTATTGCCTGTGTTCTATCAGCTATTCATTTTTACTGACAGGCCAGCTACTTGCTTCAGGTCTTCCAATACTTTATCATTCTGACCTTTCCAGATGACTTGCATTATAAATACTTAGCTATTACAGGAAATTCAGGTGTCTTCCCTCAAGGAAGCAGTTGTATTGCAAAGACGTTATACTGGAAATGTGGCAGAACTGATTCATGTAAAATGCAGCGGTCCTGCCGTGATGGTTTGTGATGTTTGAATTGTGGTGGCATAAATGAACTACTTAAGAGGAATGTAAATTTAGTGGTTAATGTGCATAACAACTGGACAGTATGCACATTCACCAGGCTTAGTCAATATGCAGAATCTCCAACAGGCTGCGGGGAAATGTCTATCCAGGAAGCGGAGATGCCCCCCCCCCCAAAGCTCAAACAACAGTAACAACTTTTGGGAATATGGCAACCCTAGAAATGTGCATATAGTAACTGAACTTTGTAGTAGGCAGAGCTAAACTTTCTTGGCTGGTTAAATCTCTCTCTCCCCCTCCACCCCTGCCACAATTCTGATGACTGACCTCAGGTGGGAAAACAAGTGGAAAAACTAGTGTCTACTCACAGTAAGCCTGTTCTTCCATGCAGCAAAACTATCTAACAATTTTATGAGAATGGGACATTGTGCCATTTTGAGGCCTAAAACTAATACACAATGAAGAATAACATTTGGTGAGTTTTGAGAAGAAAACTGACACTTGGAGAGGTGCCTTTCTCATCCCTGAATATTGCTGCTGCTTTCCAAATACTTTTCTTCTTTAAAGATTGCTGGTCTTGATTGGCATGTGTGTCTTCAAACTGTATACAATTCATCCATCCGTTGTGCATGTATATTGTCCTTTTCCGTCTCTGCTATAGCATTTGGGGTGTGTGGGTGGGTGTACACACACACACACACACACACACACACACACACCCAAATAAACCAAATAATAGGTGCAATGGAAATATCTTTCCTGGCCTTAGTATGGTGATTCCAGGTGCCCCCCCCCCATTCTACCTTTCTTTCAGGCAATTATGCAACTTCTTGCTGCTGCTTTGTGAAGCCTTCAGCTTATCAGTGATGCTCCTGGTGGAGAGCCATAATTAAACATCCCTAAAGGGATTTCTTTCAGATATTCAAAACATTCAGCCTAGGATAGCAGCTCCCATGGAGTTACACTGGGTTGTTTTCATGCTTTCTGTCAAAATGTGCTTTTTGAAAAATATAAAGCAGTTATTTAGCTGTTTCGTACAGAGTCTGGTAGTAGCAACGACACTACATTATTCCAGAGATGATCACGGCAACTGTGTGATCATATGAAAGACAAGCAGCTCCATAGATAAGGCTGCATGTTTATTTTAACAAAAATTAAAAAATAAAAAACCCAACCCCCAACATGACAGATCTGATTAAAACAAAAGTGGTTACCTCCGGAGACTCACCCTGACTTTGTTTTCCCTTCAGGAATATGATTGTCACCATTACTGCCTTGTGACAAATTGCAGTGTCGATTTATGAAACAGCAAGTTTCTGCTTCCTTCCTTAATTCTAGGTACCTTTGTTCTAGTCACTATTATTAACTAAATCATTTGCTAAACTTAGCCAAGTCACTTTCCTTTACTGTATGTCCTTGAGTAACTTCAGCAGTAAACTGTGAATTGTAGTCCTTTTCATTTCTCCTTAGATCTATGCATGAAAAGAATGATAGGAAGAGCTGTGCTCTGTTCCACTTTCAAATTTCAATTTCATAAATGTCTGCCAGCTTTACTCCCTTAACAACCTTTCCTTGACATTTTTTTGGTAGGTGAATTGGGGGCAGATTCCTCCTAAGAAATTTCTGAGATCTAGGAGCCATCTTTTCTCAAATGTTGTTTTGACTAAGAGATGAGGAAAAAATATATTTCTTCTGGCACCTGCACTTTTCCATGGAAAGGCTAATCTGGAATGAAATTCTGTTGGATTCATCAATATTCATTGGATATTTACTTCTGCCAAAGGCATTTGTTGGATTTATTGATTTAATAAATGCTATTAATGACCAAGTGAAGCACGTAGGCTCCTGAGAATCATCCATTTTTATATAGACACCTACTCATGAATGGGTCCAGATATTAGTCCCGTTCAAACAGTTAATGGCTAAACATCTTTTGTTTCTGTCTTTTAAAGATCCTGCTTATATAGTGAGACTCTAGGTTTATAATCAGTCTCTCTCTCTCTCTCTCTCTCTCTCTCTCTCTCTCTCTCTTATTATACACCACCATACCCAACATTTCTCTGATGAAAACAGGGATGTCCTATTCTGCTTCATTGACTACACAAAAGCCTTTGACTGTGTCGACCACAGCGAACTACGGGCAAGTTCTTAAAGAAATGGGAGTGCCTGATCACCTCATCTGTCTCCTGAGAAATCTCTATGCGGGACAAGAAGCTACAGTTAGAACTGGATATGGAACAACTGATTGGTTCAAAAGTGGTAAAGGAGTATGACAAGGCTGTATATTTTCTCCCTGCTTATTTAACTTATATGCAGAAATCATCATGCAAAAGGCTGGACTGAATGAATCCCAAGCTGGAATTAAGATTGCCGGAAGAAATATCAACAACCTCAGATATGCAGATGACACAACCTTGATGGCAGAAAGTGAGGAGGATTTGAAGAACCCTTTAATGAGGGTGAAAGAGGAGAGCGCAAAATATGGTCTGAAGCTCAACATCAAAAAAATGAAGATCATGGCCACTGGTCCCATCGCCTCCTGGCAAATAGAAGGGGAAGAAATGGAGGCAGTGAGAGATTTTACTTTCTTGGGTTCCATGATCACTGCAGATGGTGACAGTAGTCATGAAATTAAAAGGCGCCTGCTTCTTGGGAGGAAAGCAATGACAAACCTACACAGCATCTTTAAAAACAGAGACATCACCTTGCCGACAAAGGTCCATATAGTTAAAGCTATGGTTTTCCTAGTAGTGATGTATGGAAGTGCGAGCCAGACCATAAAGAAGGCTGATCGCCGAAGAATTGATGCTTTTGAATTATGGTGCTGGAGGAGAATCTTGAGAGTCCCTTGGAAGAAGATCAAACCTACCCATTCTGAAGGAAATCAGCCCTGAGTGCTCACTGGAAGGACAGATCGTGAAGCTGAGGCTCCAATACTTTGGCCACCTCATGAGAAGAGAAGAGTCCCTGGGAAAGACCCTGATGTTGGGAAAGATGGAGGGCGCAAGGAGAAGGGGACGACAGAGGACGAGATGATTGGACAGTGTTCTCGAAGCTACTAACATGAGTTTGACCAAACTACGGGAGGCAGTGGAAGACAGAAGTGCCTGGCGTGCTCTGGTCCATGGGGTCACGAAGAGTCGGACACGACTAAACAACAACATTCCATAATAATAATAACAATTTTATTATTTATACCCCACCCATCTGACTGGGCTGCCCCAGCCACTCTGGGCAGCTTCTGACATATATAAAAACATTATGAAACATTAAACATTAAATAATTTTCCTATATAAGGCTGCCTTTAGATGTCTTCTAAAGGTTGTATAATTACTTCTCTCCTTGGCTTGGGAGTTGCATAACTCCATACCCTCTAACATTTCTCTGCTCAAACTAGGGACGTCCTAAGGAAAAATGGGACATTCTGGGATCAAATCAGAAACTGGGACAGCTTCTATAAATCCAGGACTGTCCTTGGAAAATAGGGGCACTTGGAGGATTGGTGTGTGTGCCAGTCCACTGCCTCACCCCATGTACTAGATCTGTGGCAAGTGACCCTTGAAATGGTCCTTCATTGTACATAATAATAAGGCTTGGTTTTTACGAAATAGCTGTAATGGGATCCTAGGAGCTGTCAAAACCATAATCATTTAATGCACAACTTGTTGCTTGTTACCATCTGCGTAAACGCCTTTCGCTTCCATGAGCCTCACTGCCCATTTTCTCTCGAACATCAGCTTCCGTGTTTAGTAGTGCCTTATTGAAAGTCGGGGAAGCTGGCAGCTTCCTTAGAGCTCTCTGTGTACAGAAACTCATAAAGAGAATGAATTATGGATAGTGACACCCTTGCAGAATACAAAGAGATCAGAAGAGGAAGGGAAAGAACAGGGCCGGAGAAGATGGCAGCAGGAGGCATGTAGACCCAGCCGCGAAGAAAGGAAAGGTGATAAACGATGCATGGTTTTAAGGTCTGAGTGACAGCGCTATGCTACGTTCAAGCATATCACAGGAAGAAATGTAGTCTGCAGTTGATTTTTGCAGGGGAGTATCTTGACGTAAACATTGCTGTGAACCTTGACGCCTATCCTTTCCATTGGTGATATTTGTTGATTGTTTAAACCTTGCTTGACTTTGAAAATGAATATAACGTGTTGTTGAAGTTTCTGGTGCGTTATTCAGTTACTGGTAGCGCTCACCATAACGAACGTTTTATAAAGGCTGCAATATTCAAGTTCCAGTTGCAGCAGTGCAGATGGCTTGTCTGAGGTCTTGTCCTGGTGCTTCAGATAAGAAGCTGCTTCCCATGCAGAAATGCTTGAGCTTCAACCCGCCCCCTCCCCCCAGAGCCCATTCTTAATGCTAATAGTTTCTTGGGTACGATAATGTGCACACTAATGACCTACAGCAAAAGACTACGGCTTTAAATGGCTGAACAAAAATTTTAGCTTGGCTTTCAGACAGTGTGATTTCGCCGGAGGGTATTTTTCTAATGAACAAGCCAAACAAATTGCTATTCAGACAGAGTAGCAAGAGGTCGCAAAATGCGGTGCTCTTGCTTGAAAATCTGAGAGGAGCTCTGGCAGTAACAGAAGCAGCAAAGGTGGCGGCAGAGGTGTTTGTGTGCGTGTCCTGTCACTGCCCAATTGGGCACAGCTTAAAATATGGAAATAATCTGTTGAGTGACCCCATGTGGACTTATAGGCAGGCTGATGTACATAGGAGTGTAAAATCAGTGTAGGATGTGGCAAGAATGCAGAATTCAGCCACCAGAGTATCTCAGCTAGCTCTCTCTCTCTCTCTCTCTCTCTCTAAATCATGCTTCTATGTAGCTCTGAAGATTTCCTCAAAAGGAACCTCAGGTGTTAGTGGCAATATGGTTTCTAGTGGTTTAGGTCCTTCATAGTCACCCTGGGAATTTATTGGAAGCGTGGGTATAAATTCCGAATAATAATCTCCCTATAATGGATGCTTCAGCCTTCCTCCGAGTGGGCGGCTGTTGCAGATACTGGCGCTCGCTTGCCATCCCCAGGCAACTGGAACGGAATGCACATGACCAGCTGGCCACTGGGGGAATTCCCCCTGGCTGCCTGGGTAGCTGGCCGAAGTTCCCCTGCCAGCTGTTGGATTACAAATTGGCCAGTGAGTGGCCTCTTCCAGGAGGTGTGCCTTACCAGCTGAAAGGGCATTGGCTCCTCATATGCCCAGGCAGCCAGCAAGGTATAAATTCCTAATGATAATCTCCCTTTAATATATCTATGCTAGTCCATCATTGCATAGCTCCTTTTGGAGGATTTCTAGCACCATGTTGCAATTCCGGATTTGCATAAAGTCAGAGTTCTGGCCCCATCGGAAGGGAAAGGGTGTGAAGGTGAAAATGGAGAACTGCAGTTTTAAAAGAGTATATATTTAAAGCAGATGGATAAATGAGTAAATCAAGTTAATTTGGAATATGCGGGGGGGGGGGGTTTAAAAAAATTAAGGAACCACAGAATAAGGGAGAAGGAAGTCGAGTTTTGAAATGTTCAAATGATTGTAAAATTACTGAAATGTATAAAACTGAAAATCATTAACAGTAGCAGCAGCAGCAACAACAACAACAAACCTTTTAGTCCTAAAAAGAAAAGAAGAGAGAGAGAGAGAGAGAGAGAGAGAGAGAGAGAGAGAAAGAAAGAAAGAAAGAAGTGCAAAGAGGGTTGCAAGAAGCAGGTCCTTTTTTCAGCCAGAACTCACTAGAATGCCATTCCAGCACCTCTCCAGTGGGTGCCATTGCCATTACAGTGGTACCTTGGGTTACATACGCTTCAGGTTACAGACTCCGCTAACCCAGAAATAGTACCTCAGGTTAAGAACTTTGCTTCAGGATGAGAACAGAAATCATGCGGCGGCAGTGGGAGGCCCCATTAGCTAAAAGTGGTGCTTCAGGTTAAGAACAGTTTCAGGTTAAGAACGGACCTTTGGAATGAATTAAGTACTTAACCTGAGGTACCACTGTATAAGAGAACAAGGGAGGCATTCATGGTGAGTTATGGCACCTTTTGTCCTAGGAAAAAAATAGCCCAGGAGAAGGAATGAGTAGAAGTCATGAAAAGAGGTGAAGGAGAAAGTGGGCTTCAGAAGAGAAGGGGATGGTGGCTTCATAACTGGACGGAATGTGAAAAGGGTGCCTAGTAGTTGCTGTGGGGAAGGGGGGAGGGAAGGATGCAGGGATTTGCCATGATGGTTGTCTGTATGCAAGAGGTGCTGCAGAATAGGAAGTGAGAGAAGAGGGCATCAGCATGGGGGTGAAGGTGAAAACGGGTGCAAAATGGTTCTGCAGAACAGAACAGGGAAGCTGGGGTGATTTCTTGAAACAGAATGTCTTGTAGCTGGTGCAGTTGCAAGTTGGTGGCTGACTGAACAGGGGGGCAGAGCCCCACAAGTAATAACAATATTAATACTAGCACTAACATCTTTCATTGCAGCTGGTGATGTGATTTTCTCCATTTCTAAGCTTTCTGGTCACTTTGAAGAGCTGCAAGTGAAGAGCAGTGGGGAAAATTCGCATGTGCCTTTCAGTTGACACGACCTACCTTTGTCTTTAGATCTGCAGAGAATTAAAATAGAGCTTGAGCTAAGGTTCACTGTGTAAGGTTTATACTTCCGTTGTTGTGTATTTCCAAAATGCTTCCAAGATTTATTTTAAAATCAACAATGAGGAGGGGAGGGCAGTTCCCTGTACAGAGCAAGTAAATGATGGAGAATAAATTAAATTCCTCCTTAAAATAGAGGTGCTGTGATAGCTGCAATGCACCTTGAGTGAAAATCAAGAAGGGTGTTCTCCAGGGACAAATGAAAACAAATCTAGTTTCAGGCAATAAAAATAAACAAAGGGAAGTCCTAAACTCTTACCCAGGCACGCTATGTGGTCTAACATCATCTTGTAAATTGTGCAACGTAGGAAACTCGGCTAAAGCATCCATGAGAGATGGTCATCCAACCTCTGCTTAGAAATCTCCAAGGAAGGGGAGTCAGCAGCCTTCCGAGGGAGATCCATCTTCCATGTACAGTGGTACCTCGGGTTACAGACGCTTCAGGTTACAGACGCTACAGGTTACAGACTCCACTAACCCGGAAGTAGTGCCTCAGTTTAAGAACCTTGCTTCAGGATGAGAACAGAAATCGTGCGGCGGCAGCGGGAGGCCCCATTAGTTAAAGTGGTACCTCAGGTTAAGAAGAGTTTCAGGTTAAGAACAGACCTCCAGAATGAATTAAGTTCTTAACCCGAGGTACCACTGTACAGTCATACCTCCGTGAATGTCCACCCCCTTGATCGTCCATTTTGGCGGACGTCCGCGGCAAACCCAAAAGTACCGGAACATGTAGTAGTAGTAGTAGTAGTAGTAATAATAATAATAATAATAATAATAATAATAATTTATTATTTATACCCCGCCCATCTGGCCGGGCTTCCCCAGCCACTCTGGGCGGTTTCCAAAAAATATTAAAATACTGTAATACATCAAACATTAAAAGGTTACTTCAGGGTTTGCCGCTTCGCGCATTTGCAGAAGCGCAAAACCACTCCACATGCATGCGTAGAGCGATGCTCTGTTGAGCGTCCGGGGCTCTGGAACAGATCCCGGATGCTCGACAAGGTACCACTGTATTATAAAAAGTAAACACTTATTTGACCCCAGTTATTTGACACAGAGGGGGAAACCTGCAGATACAGTCCAAAAGGTGCACAGGGAGTTCTGTATATATGGGAGAATTCTAAAAAGCAAGTGGTCTTCACTGACCTGGTGCAATAAGATCTTGTCATCCAGAGGAGCCCTGGCTGCCTAGATAAAATACTATAGCCGCCCACGTGCTTTATTTTATTCATTTATTTAGTTTAAAATTATTTTTTTCTTCACTTCTCACATCCCTCTGTGGCCCCCTAGCCTTGTGCTGTTGTTGTTGTTGTGCCCTCAATCTTTCCCAACATCAGGGTCTTTTCCAGGGACGCCTTGTGTTATGACCCCCCCCCCCCATTTATGCATTTTTCACCTGTGGCCCCCTTGGAATATTGGGAAACACTGCTTTACCTTTATAGCAGTGTTTCCCAATAAAGGTAAGGGTAAAGGTACCCCTAAAGCAATGACAAACCTAGACAGGATTTTAAAAAGCAGAGACATCACCTTGCCAACAAAGGTCCGTATAGTTAAAGCTATGGTTTTCCCAGTGGTGATGTATGGCAGTGAGAGCTGGACCATAAAGAAGGCTGATCGCCAAAGAATTGATGCTCTTGAATTATGGTGCTGGAGGAGACTCTTGAGAGTGCCATGGACCGGAAGAAGATCAAACCTATCCATTCTGAAGGAAATCAGCCCTGAGTGCTCACTGGAAGGACAGATCCTGAAGCTGAGGCTCCAATACTTTGGCCACCTCATGAGAAGAGAAGGATGAGGAGATTTCACCCCTCCCATATCCAAGAATCTTCTGAGGAGTCTGCTGATTCTCCAGAGAGGAGGAGGCGTGTTCTGCTCTCTACTTATTCTGCTCCAGCACAGAGTCAGTCAGTCAGTCAGTGTCGGAGAGAGAGAGAGAGAGAGACTGAGTGTTAGAGATTGTGTGTAAAGATAAGGTTGCTGCTAAGAGCAGCTGCAGACACTCAGTGCAGTGCAGCATTCATTTATGCTTAGACCTATTTAGCTCTGTATATAGTTGTATAATAGTTGTGGATAGAATAAAGAAGATATTCTACAGAGCTGCTCTCCGAGTTGTTTATATACTCTCCTGTACTCTGCTGTGCGACGACTGTCTTCTTGTTGGAGTGAATCCGGTGCTCACAACTCTAAGCTGTGAGTCCACAGCACTTTGACCTGTTCCTGTGCAGAAGGTGGTCTCTGGAAGTGCTACCCAGCTCGCCTAGCCCAGTCGGGGCTGAAGTGGATGAGTCCAGTTGGTGGCACTGGCTCAAGGGCGATGCTGACAAAGACTCCCTGGAAAAGACCCTGATGTTGGGAAAGATTGATGGCACAAGGAGAAGGGGACGACAGAGGACGAGATGGTTGGACAGTGTTCTCGAAGCTACCAGCATGAGTTTGACCAAACTGCGGGAGGCAGTGGAAGACAGGAGTGCCTGACTTGCTCTGGTCCATGGGGTCATGAAGAGTCGGACACAACTAAACGACTAAACAGCAACATTCCATAATAATAATAACAACAACAACAATTTTATTATTTATATATTATTTCTATATTTCAGCACATAAATGTTGAATGCTTTACCATTCCAAAACTTAGCCAACAAATATTTTGAAAACTGGTTTGTTTGTTTGTTTGTTTTAAAAATCTGACATTCTATTAAATTGCACTGAGATTTCAACAAAGGCTTTAAAACCAATGAATGGGTTGTGTTTTGTGATCCTGCCTATACATCAGCATTTGTTTTTGTGGCGCAGTTTTGATCCATGGCTAATTTCCAACATGCTCAGGGAAAATGCCAATTAACTTGCTTAATTGCTTCTATTACACCATAGACATTTGATTCATTCAGCACTTTCTTCTTGGCCTCCAATTTATCAGCGCTGATTTTCAGAGTTAGTACTAATTTGTGGCTGTGCTTATGATGAACCAGAACCTCAAGTCTTCTCTGAAACAGTGCTGTTACACAGCTCAGAAGTTAACACCGCAAAACTATAAGAACATGCCTTATCTGCTTGAGATTCCAACATCAGACTTGCTGAGGAAGAGCTACAGAAAAGCTATTATAATCTGCTGCCCCCGTTATTGCAAAATAAAGTAAACAGAAGAAGACAAGTCAATTGCTATGGAGTAAAGGAACGTAACGATAGCTGATACATCAAAGTGCAACTTTTATGAATGGACTGAGCTCCTGGTGGCAATTGTACCTTGAAGCCTGAATCTAGGCAGAATATTCATTTGGAGTCCTTATAAGGAAAGATTTAGAAATGAACCTGTACCCCGTTGCTATGATAAAAGACCTCAACCTCACTTTGCACTGTTTCATTATTCTTTTCAAATACAAACACTCTGTTTCCACTGAAGTGAGAGGATTTATGAACCCATAAACCTCTTGATGAGAAGCAGAGAGAGAAGATTGATTTCTACCAGTAATAGGCCTTACGGGTTACATAACAAAACAACGAAAACAAAAACAAACCAATAACCAATATTCTTTATTAAATATCTAGCCCATACTGCCTCATAAAGGAACCCAGGGCAGCGAAAAACAAAGCAAAAGCAATAACACAGCAAAAGACCCTTAAACACATTAAGAACATTTAAAAATGTCTGAAAACATTTAAAAACAAGGACATACATTCACAACTAAGAATGTCAAGGTTGCCAGCAACAACCTTGGTGAACAGGAATGTTTTGAAAATCCTCCTAAATGTTAATAATGAACCCACCTCACCAGTGAGGGTGTTCTGCTGCCATGGAGATGCTACTGAGAAGGCTCTGTCACAGGTCCTGCCAAGGGTTCAGCACCTAGTAGGCAGCACCCATGTTAATGGGAGACAAACATGGAAATGAACAGGAGGCTTTGAATTAAATTTCTTTGGCAACGTGATTTAATTCCACATCTTTCAGAGCATTTTTGGTTTTGTTCGTAAGCATGATTACTTAATTGGAGACAGACCCCCCCCATATAATGACTTGCATACACAAACAGTGCTCGTTTCAGCGGCCTAGGACCCACGTACCTATGGGACCGCCTCTCCTGGTATGCCCTGCGGAGGACCTTAAGGTCCACAAATGACAACACTTTGGAGGTCCCAAGTCGCAAGGTGGTTAGATTGGTCTCAACTAGGACCAGGGCCTTTTCAGTACTGGCCCCAAGTGGTGGAACGCTGTCACAAGAGACTAGGGCCCTGCGGGACTTCACATCTTTCCGCAGGGCCTGCAAGACAGAGCTGTTCCGCCTGGCCTTTGGTTTGGACTCAGTCTGACCCTTACGTTTCCCTCCCCTTATGGTTTTGATCTATGGGCTGCTTTTAAAATGAGGCTGCATTTTAATTTGCATTTTAACCTGTATTTTAAATTGTCCCCCCCCCCGTAATGTTTTTCCTGTAATTTTACTGGTGTTAGCCGCCCTGAGCCTGGCTCTGGCCGGGGAGGGCGGGGTATAAATAAAATTTATTATTATTATTATTATTATTATTATTATTATTATTATTAACCTCCAAGGAAGGAGAGTCCATCACTTTCTGAGGGAGTCCATTCCACTGTCGTTTCGTTTTCTGAGAACAGCAGATATGATGGCGTGAATCGGAAATCAGTAATCTTCCTTAGAAGCATGTGCTTGAAAGATAATGGCAACCTGTTTGAACAAGTATCAAAATCCATATAATATCCAAAGTGTTACACACCAAAATTACACTGATTGCAGACTTGCATGATCAAGTGCTCCAAAGCAATGCTGAAAGGATTATATTAGATGAGAAGGGGAGAGACAGAGAGACAGAGAGAGCGCAGTGCAAAGGTTTTGATAACCATACAGAATGGAATGTGAAACACTTGCCTGAAGTGTCTGCTTATTTTACTATAAATAACAGCAGCTTCAGCACAGTGCAGCAAAATGCTTAGAGAAAACTGAAAGGATAAGCAAGGGTGGCAGCCGGAAGGCAGGAAACATAATCTCCAGTTTGGAAAAGGTTCAAGGTCATGCATCTACCAGTTCACCATCATCACCCCACATTTCATTGGCAAAGTTTGTATAGGGCAGGGGTAGTCAACCTTTTTATACCTACCGCCCACTAATGCATCTTTCTTGATGGTAAAATTTCCTTACCACCCACCAGTGCTCAATGGAAGGAGGATTCAGTTTTTGATGTAGAACCCCCTACCGCCCACCTAGAACCCTGAAATGCCCACAAGTGGGCAGCAAGGACCAGGTTGACAACCCCTGATCTAGTGAGTCTGTAATTGAATTGGCCTCTATAGAGGTTTGACAAGATGTAGACTCCATTGATGTCCATAGTTTACATAGGGTTACCTTCAAACCTTTAACTGTTAACCAGAGATGATGTCAGTGCAGAAGAGATAAAGTTGTGCACCTGGGGCTTTCTGCCAGCTGGGTCATTCATGCAAGCTGAGAGATAGACAAATCCCAAGCAAGTCAGCTAGAAGCTGCTTCCGGGGGAAATGCTCAGTGCCTTCTGCTTACATTTGGGCTTCCAGTGGTGGCAGACAACTTTCTGAATGGGTGGGGATATGTTTTGGGGGTGGCGGGAACACCTCTCATTTCCCCAAGTAAACATGCACTAGTGGCCTTAAGATAAGCCACTATTTCTCAACCTCACCTGAGGTGTAAAGGAATGATCATACTGATGAAGTAATTTGTAGGATTGTTGTAACTAAAAATATGCTTTAATGTATATTTTTTTTTATTAAATTTGCGATCCCTGAGCCAAGGAGATAAGTAACTATACAACCTTTAGAAGAGATCTGAAGGCAGCCTTGTATAGGGAAGTTTTTAAATGTTTTATTATGTTTTTATAAATGTTGGAAGCTACCTCGTCAGACAGGCAGGATATGGTGGTGGTGGTGGTGGTGATGATGATGGAATAGGACGTCCCTATTTTCATCAGAGAAATGTTGCCGGGTATGTAACAAAATAGTTGCATGTGTCTTTCCCCCCACAAGGATTTGAAGTGAGACATGGCATTTCTCTCAGGGCTGAGATGAAGTGTGGGTCTGGGTATGAGGGCAGAGCGGCAGCGGTGGTGGGGACTCTTCCAACTTTACTATGAACCAGATCTGAAACTAGAGCTTGGTGTAGATTTTGCAAGATTGGATGGTATGGTATAGGTAGGCTGGGGTGGATCTACACACGGGGGGGGGGGGGCGCTATAAATAAATCAGAAATTAGATCGTTATAACAAAAGAGAAAAAAAACCCTATCTAAAACTGTGTAGAAAGGTTTTCTGCTCTACAGCACCATCTGGTGTTGCATGTTTATAACCCATTCAAAACACTGTTTGTTTTTATTGATGTAACTGAGTTCCTAGACTGTTTCTCATTCTGTTTTTATTGTGAACAGTTGTTGCACCCATTAGCTACAGGTGGAAACAAACTTGAGATTATCCTACACTCTCTCATGTAGCTATACACCGGAGCTATTCCCTCCCCACTATTTACTTCTGGATCAGCTCCCCCCCCCCCCCATGCAAGATTAAACCTTGTAGAATGTACCTCTGTTCACCGCTACCATTTGCAGATTTCCCTGCTTTTATTTAATCACCAACCAAATGATCTTTGTAAAAGTTCACAGAAGCTCAGTCACTAAGAAGATGTTCTGAGGCTTTATTATTCTACTGGTTATTGAAGTTTTCCCATTTCTTTTATATATGCATGTAGCGCCTGGGAACTATTGCCAATGGGTCTCCTTAGTAAATAAATTATTGTGATTATTGACTTGCGAGTGAGAAATGCTGGCTGAATTTTTATTGATGGAATATTCATGGTAGGTGGCAATTTTAGCACAGTTTGTGACTGGAATACAAATCAGAGCATTAGCATCCCATGCTCACTTCTGCCAGAAACCTCCTTCACAAACAAGCCTGGGTTTAAACGGCAGTTTGATGCTTCTAGGCGGGTGGAGGATGATGGTTTTATTATGCTGTTTAAAGTAATATGTTCATCAACTCCACCTCCCCACCAAATCTCCCTAAACAACCGTTCTTCTAGATTTCTTATGCAGATGGCAGCAAGAGATGATAAGACATGTGGCCATTGTGTGTGTGCAGGGGGGTATTTTTCAATTTGCTGTACAAAACAGAATGTGCGCATGCAGCAAACTGGTTCTGAGCATTGACCTGTCACAAACTGAAAGTGCCAGTATTTCTGTGATGACTATTAGGGATTTTCTCATGGAGATTGTGGGCATGCTAGCTATTTGTATCGGTTCAGTATACCTGAAGGAGTGTCTTTACCCCCATTGTTCTGCCCAGACACTGAGGTCCAGTGCTGAGGGCCTTCAGGCAGTTCCCTGCGAGAAGCCAAGTTACAGGGAACCAGGCAGAGGGCCTTCTCGGTAGTGGCACCTGCCCTGTGGAATGCCCTCCCACCAGATGTCAAAGAGAAAACCAACTACCAGACTTTTAGAAGACATCTGAAGGCAGCCCTGTTTAGGGAAGCTTTTAATTTTAATAGGTCATTGTATTTTAGTGTTTTGTTGGAAGCCACCAAGAGTGGCTGGGGAAACCCAGCCAGATGGGTGGGGTATAAATAATAAATTAGTAGTAGTAGCAGTAGTAGTAGTAGTATTCACTGCATACTGATGTGCATGATGCCCTATGTATTTTTCAGGTCATGCATGGGGGATGTAACAGTTGATGGACTGAATAAATCCCGTCCCCTCAACAGTCTTAAGAAGTGGCTGAGAGTGCTTCATCATCCTGGATATTGACCATATTGGAGGTAGGGGTGGGCATTAAAGTCCAAAGAATCTGGAGGGGAAGACCACCTTACAGCTATAACTCAAGTATAGCTTAAATTGCAGGAGGCCAACTTTTCAAGTCCGCAGAACCGGATTATCCTTGGCCATGATGCTCAGAAACAAGACACCAGTTCTGATCTCCTTGGCCAGGCATCTCCAGGCTCATTGGCTTAAGAATCCAGCATCACTGCCAACCATTCTATTGTACTTCTTCAGCACTCCTCCCACTGTTGAAATGGAGAGAGGATGGTGATGACGACGACAACGACAACAACAACAGCGTATTATTTATATGCCACCAATATGACTGGGTTGCCCCAGCCACTCTGCTTCTAACAAATTAAAACATCAAACATGGGGTCAGGATGCTGCCAGGGCTCCCAGCTGGTTGCCCAGGAAAGTACAAAGACAAGGGAAAGTTTCTTACCGTCCTTTTTTATTTCAAACTTTACAGAGAGAGGTTATAGAACCCAGCCTCTTGGATAATGGAGTTGTCCCGAGTGAATCCCAACACCCCATCACTCCCACGTCCTCATTTGCCATCCTCATCACCTCCTCTATGGGTGTTGCTATGTGCCCTCTGTCTTTGAGCTCTTTGCTCACCCACTTTCAAGGCTCGCCGGGTTCTGGGAGATGGAAGGTCTGGAATGCTTTCTAATGACAACGTGTCAGCCTGGTGTTGCTCTGGCTCTCCCACGATTTCCCAACTTCCCCCCTCATCTGCCTCTGAGCTGCCACTTCCCTCAAATCCCTATTGTAAATCTATACTGTCTTCCTTCTCCTCCTCCCTGGAAGGGTCAGGATGGGGGAGGTGGTCTCCACCATTCCTCCTCTGCCCAGTCCCTGACACACAGGAAAACATCAAATGTTAGAAAACTTCCCTTCAGACGACTTCTAAAAGTCGTATAGTTATTTATTTGTTTGACATCTGTGGAGAGGATGTTCCACAGGGATGACACAATTACCGAGAAGGCCCTCTGCTTGGTTCCCTGTAACCTCACTTCTCTCAATGAGGGAACTGCCAGAATTTTATTATTTATACCCCGCCCATCTGGCTGAGTTGCCCCAACCACTCTGGGCAGCTTCCAATATATATATATAAACATAATAAAACATGAAACATTAAAAACTTCCCAATTCAGGGCTGCCTTCAGACCCTCTGCCTGGTTCCCTGTAACTTCAGTTCTCTCAGTGAGGGAACCACCAGAAGGGCATTGGAGCTGGGCCTCCCATCCCCTCCAACATTTCTCTGATGAAAATAGGGACACTGTATTCCATAATTTTACTCTTTATACCCCACACATCTTACTGGGTTGCCCCAGCCACTCTGGGCAGCTTCATACACACACACACACACACACACACGCACACACACACACACTTAATAAAACATTAAGCAGTAAAAAAAAACCTTCCCCTTACAGGATTGCATTCAGACAGCTGGGGTGTCAGATAACTTCATACCCTCCAACATTTCTCCAATGAAAATAGGGACATCCTAAGGAAAAGTGGGACATTCAGGGATCAAATCAGAAACTGTGATGGCTTCTCTGAATCAAGGACATCCCTGGAAAATAGGGACACTTGGAGGGTCTGACCTCAATGTCCAGGCTGAACAATGGGGGTTGAGATGATCCTTTAGGTGTACAGGGCCAACACCATTTAGGGCTTTAAAGGTCAGCACCAGCACTTTGAATTGTGCTCATTTAGCACCAGTGTTATATGGTCTCTGCGGCCGCTCCCAATCACCAGGCTAGCTGCTGCATTCTGGATTAGATGTAGTTTCCGAGTCACCTTCAAAGGTAGCCCCACCCAGAGTGCATTGCAGTAGTCCAAGCAGGAGATAACCAGAGCATGCACCACTCAGGTGAGACAGTCTACAGACAAGTAGGGTCTCAGCCAGAGTACCAGATGGAGATGGCAGATAGCTGCCCTGGACACAGCTGCAGAGCCGTCTTTCCCATCAGGCTTAGTGGTGCGTTGCGCCAGAGTGCCGGCCTCTCAGGGGTGCCCCAGCAAGTGGGGGAGCTGCTTGGCTTTGCCAGTGGCCTCCCCTTTCCATGCAGGCCCGCCAGCTGCGCCCCGCCAAGCATATGGCTGGTGGGTGTGCAGCTTGCCCCCCAAACCTCCGCAGGAGGAGAGTGATCCCTGCAGAAGCTTAGGATGGAAGCTGCGCCCTGCCAACTATATGGCTGGCAGGCACGTGGCTTCCCTCCCAAGCCTCTGCGGGGATTGCTCTCCCACAATGGCATGGGGGAGAGTTGTGCCCACCCCCCATGGCTGGCAGTGTGCAGCTTCTGTTAGAATTCCTGCTTCGTGACTGCAGTCATGGGATTGTTGTCTTTGACGTGACGGTATATGTTTTGACTCCACAGAATGGGAAGTGACAGAGACAGGATGTTTGTGTTACTGTGTTCCGTGAAGTGGGACTGTTATCCTTTGTTCTTTTTCGCTTTGCTGTCTGATGCTAGAGAGAGAGAGGGAGCCATGTTGCAGTGCTCCGTGTGTATTTATATGTAAATAAAATAGATTAGCCAAAATGCTGAGTTCTGTCACGCGAACTGCGCAGACTCCACAGATCCCTAAGTGTGCCGGTGTCGGTTGGCATCGGTTTTTGTGATATTCGGGCTGAAGAAAGCTTTTGAAGCTCCCGAACAATCGACCAGGAGGGAGAGAACATGCCAGTTGGGCATGTGTCTCTGCCAGGGTCCTACTCAAGTGTAGGCTGAGCTCCTGACAGCTTCGCCTCCCCATCCATGGTTATTTGGGGGCGCTGGGCAGATATTTGCACCCCGGCACCGCATCTGCCAAAGATGGCCCTGCACAGCTGCCTTGGGTAGTCTGCATCTGGATGGGGTACCATTTCTTGTTCCACCTTGGGCATCAACGTGTCATGGGCTGGCCCTGCTTCTCACTCAATATTGTTTTCAATCTCTTTTTCAAATAAAAGCCATTGGGGTGTTGGGGGAAGAATCTCCTTTGAATGGTAATCCAGTGGAACTGCGATAAAGTTCAGAGAATTACAAGTATCTTTAGTTTTATCGCTGAGGATCAAATAAGTTATATCTCTGGGTATACAGAGAGAAATGAGAGCTCAATTTCAAACTCAAAAGATATTAAATCATATTGAGAAGGAAAAAAATATAATAAGAAAAGATAATTTATTTGAGCAGAGACATTCTTTTTCCTTCAAATATGCCCTAGTGTAAAAGCTCTTCTTTTGAAGTAATTTAAAGTTAAAATTAGCAGTGACACACACCTTTGTCTTTAATCAGTGTTAAAACCTCAAAAATAAAAAGACAGCCAGATAGACAGGGGAAATAATTGTGTAACTGGAGAAAGACCCATTATCTGAAGTAATAATATGGTATTGGGATTTGACAAAGTTTGCATGACTTTAGGTAGCAATGATATAAAAGTATTGCTGCTTCGCAGTCTGCCTGAATGATGGACATCTGGAGAGCTAATGGGCTGGAGGTTTCCCCTCCCATTCAAAAGGAGCAAGTAAAGGTAAAAGTAAAGGACCCCAGGATGGTTAAGTCCAGTCAAAGGCGAGTATGGAGTTGTGGCACTCATCTCACTTTCAGGCTAAGGGAGCCGGCGTTTGTCCGCAGACAGCTTACCAGGTCATGTGGCCAGCATGACTAAACTGCTTCCGGTGCAACGGGACACCATGATGGAAAACAGAGCGCACGGAAACACTGTTTACCTTCCCCCCGCAGTGGTACCTATTTATCTACTTGCACTGCTGTGCTTTCGAACTGCTAGGTTGGCAGGAGCTGGGACAGAGCAATGGGATGCGGGTGGCCCTGTGGTCTAAACCACAGAGCCTCTTGGGCTTGCTGATTAGAAGGTTGGTGGTTCGAATCCCCCTGATGGAGTGAACTCAAAAGGAACACAGTGATCAAGGAATCACAAATGCCTCAGGGCGTAATCCTGCACTCATCACCCACCGGCTGAAGGACGGAATCCCTCTCTCAGTGCCAGAAGAACACCAGATACACTGCCACCATAACATGTACACAGGTGGAACTAAGCGGTGGCCATTGTAGCGGAGAGCTCCTCTCTGACAGCAACATCGCTGCCACTGTCAGGAGAGTAGTGGCATGGCAGGGCTCTACCACACTGGCTGCTTCTGAGTGAAATGCCTCATACACACTATCAGAATGGCTGGAAAGGGGTGGACTTATGTCTGGGGCTTGGGCCACACAAGGAAGGAAAACACTTACACTGTAACTCCTTCAAACAATGGCCATACCCTAGTCAGTGGAGCAATTTCATTGAAGCTTCAGAACTGAGATTCGTTCAACCTTCAAATTCATTCAAGCTTTAGTTAAAGCATTTCCCTCCTCTTGACTTCTGTTTGTGTCTGTCCTCCTTCCTTCTTGCCTCAGCCGTGTAAAAAGGTAAAGGGACCCCTGACCATTAGGTCCAGTCGTGACCGACTCTGGGGTTGCGGCGCTCATCTCGCTTTATTGGCTGAGGGAGCCAGCGTACAGCTTCCGGGTCATGTGGCCAGCATGACTAAGCCGCTTCTGCCGAACCAGAGCAGCGCACGGAAACGCCGTTTACCTTCCCACCAGAGCGGTACCTATTTATCTACTTGCACTCTGACGTGCTTTCGAACTGCAAGGTTGGCAGGAGCAGGGACCGAGCAACAGGAGCTCACCCCGTCTCGGGGATTCGAACCGCCAACCTTCTGATCGGCAAGTCCTAGGCTCTGTGAGTTAACCCACAGCGCCACCCGCATCCCTCCTCAGCTGTGCATGACCCCTCAAAAAACTTTCCTAGTTTAGGATATACCCTGGGATTCAAATCAGGGACTTTCAGTCTAGCATGTAATATATAAGCCGCCCCTCCAGGCAAGTGCTCCTTGTGTGCAGTTCATGTGCTTCTGGTGCCTAGGACTGGATTTTTGCAGTTAGAAGATGTTGCTTTGCTACATTCACAGCAGTGTAGCCCTGGAGACCAAGGCATCTCTCCAAGCCAGTCTTTAGCCAGCCTGCCCAAGATGGATCTCTCCTTATTCTCCCCCCAAACCTATAACAGCTCTTTTACCCTCACTAATGATATCACCACCAGCCAGGGGAGGCCTGGTCCCTATAGACCAGCTTCTAAGGATAATGGCTTAATTTCCTGAAATGGGAAAGTGTGCTTATACTGAATTGCTGTGTATTTTTGGCATGGGGTTTTTCCTTTGGTAGTAGCTCTCTCATGTGATTGGCTGACTGTGAGTCACATGAGAAAGGCATTCCATTCTGTTGTGACTGTTATTCAAGCAACTGTCGTTTTTAACTGCTTTCTGCTCATGTGTGTGTGAGGGTGAGAGAGTGAGTGAGTGAGAGAGAGAATGGCTACTGAGAGAGGTTTTTTTGGATGCCGCTGAGGCAGTGTGTGTTGGTGTGGTCAGTCTGGGGTGAAGAAGAGGGAGGAAGTTCCCTAAATGTTAATAGGGAGAAACTTGTGCTCTCTGTTCCTTATAGGTGAATAAGCATGAGATTGTAGATATGCTCTTGTCAGTTATGTGTTTATGAAAGTAAAGCTGTTTTGAATATAAAGAGTCTGGACACTGTATAGCATCAAAAATTATTTTTATATATGTACACAACAATGGAAACATCTCCAGCTAGTACCTTCTGTGTCAACTAGTCACTAGAACTCTTTAGACCTGCAAAGAGACAGTTAACAGACTTGGCTTGAGCTATTAGTAAAGAGACTGTGTTGACCACTTTAGCAGTCTCTTTTCATACAAAACCTGTCTCACAGATAAAAAAACAGAGGCCACACCTGGGGAAAGCTGGCCTTTGGTCTAATGTTCATAGGCGCTGACCGACAATCTGAAGACTGCAAAACCGAGGACCCTTGGATTCTTCTGGTCATCGCGATTGGGCCTGACAGTATTTTGAGGTAAGGCAGAGTCTCTTGTCCTAATGTCCTCACCGCCAGGGCACCTATTTAGAAGGGGTTTGATCTTGCTGTCTGTAAAAACCCTCGTTGCTACAATGTCGGCCATGGACAAAAGCGTTTTCCTCCTAACAATAATAGATGGTATCTTTTCAGAGTGGAACGCAAGTATCACCTTCAAGAAGTTGGTCTGCCGGGGAGGGGCATTACAGCATATAGGTCAATCTGATATTTCTTAATTTTTAAAAGTTTGCTTAAGCAGTCTTTAGCTCCTTCTAGCGTTGACCATCTTCCTATTTCCGACCTGACAGAAAGGCAACTTTTCTTGGGTTGCAAAGTTAATATCTGATTGTTCAATTGGGAATTTAAGACATATTTAGTTTTAGTCTCCAGTATTTTATCTGAATGGGGGTGAGGCAATAAGTTTTTGACCTCACAAACTGAGGATTGTGTTGTTGATTCAAGTTTTCCGATTTTCAGCAGGATATTGGATAATTGTGAAGATACCTCGTCCAGCCTTTTAAAAATACAGTGAAGGGTCTTAATTACTAAGTGTAACTGCTCACAACTGGGGAACTCCCCCATAACAGATGCCAAACCATCTTCCTGCGATGAGAGTTTTTCTTTCGTATTCTCCTTTACAGGCTTTACATTTGAAACATTTTGAGTCATCGGAATCGGAGTAGCTTCTAAATCAATTAGAGGTTGGAAGCGATTTTGGGTTTCCACTGCAAAGCATTGCTCGGCATGGTCACTCCCTCCTCCATTCCGGTGTGGCACCAACCTTGATAGTTTTGGTTTAGGGGATGATAGGGGCTCGTCAAAGTCTCTCAAGCGTTTTTTCTGACCCATGCTTTCCTCAGGCCAGAGATTATACGATTCTTAAAATAACATAACACTTAACACGCAATTAAGATAATGGCGTTCTCAACTCCTTTAGCAGCTAAAGCCAGCCCGCTGATATGAGAGAAACAAAGAGCGGCTTGCAGCAGTCTGGAGCAGGGCCAAATCTCTCAAAGAGTTTCCAAGGTATGCGGCTGCAGCAATTATAAAATACTTCAAAAACTGACTGAGTCAGTTGAGATAAAAGTATAAAAGATTAAAAAAGATTAAAAGAAGTCCGAAGAGCACCGGTAAGCGCGTCTTACCTCGGCGCCATGTTGGCTCCTCCCCTGGCTTGAGCTATTAGTAAAGAGACTGTGTTGACCACTTTAGCAGTCTCTTTTCATACAAAACCTGTCTCACAGATAAAAAAACAGAGGCCACACCTGGGGAAAGCTGGCCTTTGGTCTAATGTTCATAGGCGCTGACCGACAATCTGAAGACTGCAAAACCGAGGACCCTTGGATTCTTCTGGTTGGACTCTATGTGCATACAGTTGTTGGTTAAGAACGGACCTCTGGAATGAATTACGGTAACCAGAGGTACCACTGTATTCAGAAGCATACTGCCTCCCACCATAGAGCAGAGTATAGCCATTGTAGCTAGTAGCCCCTGCTAGCTTAACTTCCATAAATATGTGTTATATTCTTATAAAGCCATCACTTTAAGTTGGTGGTCATCATTTCCTTTTGTGGGAATGGATTCCATAGTTTAACTATGCACTCTGTGATGAAGAATTTTTTACACAAGGTGTTTGGCCCACACAAATTCCATTTACAAACTATGTAGGCAAAAATGCAAGTCTTTTATTTTTTGTTTAACAAGATGTCTGTACTGCTTAGTCTGTTCACTGAAGTCTCATTTTGATATAAAAGAATATCTATTAACCTCTCTTTGTAATGCTCTAATTAAGCCAAAGACCTTCATATTGATTGCTGATGGCAGATGAGAATGATTCGCTCCGTGTAGATTGATTTAACTGGATGGCGCTATTTTGAAACGTTTATTTAACTAACCACGGGCTCTGAAACCACTGGTTCAAATAATTAAATCAAATCCAACATAACAAAGACGATCTAGAGGGGGACTCATATATTCCATTTATCCCAGTGGACGGATGGCAAGCCGTTCTTCTGTACTGATCCAATTTCTGTTCCTGAGCTCTTAAATACATTTAACCTTTTCTTATAAGCTCCTGGATTCCAGAATGAGCATTCAGAACTCAGCAGCTGCCACAATGGCTCCTCGCTAACCAGAAGCAGAATGTTTAGACTTGATCTTATAGCTAAAACAAAAATGTGGTTAATTTGGATTTACCCTTCACAGTTGACAGTCCATTGTTGTCTGTTTTTTGCATTCAGCTTCCCACTGTCATGGAACAGGGGTTCAAAATTGTTGGGTCTCAGTGCTTGGAGGATGCTCATCTACAAATGCCTAAAATGGACTCTTGTTCCAGGATAAATACTCAACCTTCTCCAACATTTCATGTATTTTAACTTGCAATAGCCTTGGACAAACTGTTGAGAACCTTCTGGGTAAAGCAGCTTAATGAATAATGGACAAGTGGAACTCATAACAGGACAGTTTAGTGTGAAAAATTCATGCTCAGGATTCCAGACTGCCTTGAGCCTTGCTGGAAATGTCAGGGACTGGGCAGAGGAGGAATGATAGAGACCACCTCCCCATCCTGACCCTTCCAGGGAGGAGGAAGAGGAAGACAGTATAGATTTACAACAGGGGTTTAAGGGAGGTGGCAGCTCAGAGGCAGATGAGGGGGAAAGTTGGGCAATCATGGGAGAGCCAGAGCAACACCTGGCTGACACGTTGTCATTCGAAAGCATTCCAGACCCTCCATCTCCCAGAACCCGGTGAGCCTTGAAAGTAGGAGAGTAAAGAGCTCAAAGACAGAGGGCACATAGCAGCACCCATAGAAGTGACGGATGAGCTACAATGTGGAAAAGTGGAAAAGTTCCCTCAAGACAAGAGCGGGTCAAAAAAAATGATTGATTATGCTGAATTAGATAGCCTATCCGAAAAATTAAATAGCAAACCAAGGAAAGAATTCATTTCAAAATGGGAAGTATTTAAAATATATTTGAAAATCAATAATACTGACTTAAAATCCATAGTGGCATTTGAATAATTCCAGCAATATCATTCACTAGTTATATGATTTAGCATATTTTGAAGTGATTTGAAGTAATCTGTAAAAATTGAAAGAAAAAAAGGACAGTAAGAAACTTTTCCTTGTCTTTATATTTTCCCGGGCAACCAGCCGGGAGCCACTGACAGCACCCTGACAGGAAAGAGCATTGGATAAGATGGATGCCACAACTGAAAAAAAGACAAACCTTTGCCTGAGGCAAAGGCAAGCTTCTTCAGTGGGATGTGAGAAACCAGCATGATAGGAAATGGTGACAAGGTTTGCTTCATTTGGGCTTCCATAGCTGGGAAGAAGGGAACATGCTCTTGCCCCCCAGACCTCTCCCCCTCCTGCCCTCCCTCTATGCAATAGCTGAAGAGTGGGCTGTAATAGACTTGGGTTCTTAGCTATCTAGCTGCTTTATTTCCAAATTAAAATAAAATGTAGCTCTCTGGAACAATCAGCACGCCATCTCTTTCGGTCAATGAGTCCTTAAGCTGTTATTTTCCCTTTGGTTAAGCAGATCAAAAGCTCCTTTGCTAAGTGGAATTAAGTGATATACAAGCCTGCAATATTCAGTGCTTTTTAAAATTGACAGGATTACTCAGTTCCTTAAATCAGAAGTGGGGGGGAAAAATGATATCAAAGGCTGTGTTTCTGCGGCTGAACGTGTTCAAGGATCACGTGGGGGCGGATAGTGCTGGCAGTGGGTGAGGCCAAAGCTAGCCCTCCTCCCCCGCTCTCAATTCATATATATTTGTAAAATCTAGCCCCCTCTCTGTGCTTGATAGGCCTTGCTGTACCTGCACATTTTTCATACCTATTTGGTAAACTGCAATAAAAATTTAGCAATTTAGCAACTTGTGTGTCTTTCTGTGGGAGTTCCCTGGGAATTTTGTCCTTCCATGTTGGTTTGTACCCTTGGCCAGCACAGGACATTTAGCAAGTGATAGGTGGCAGAAAACTGCTTTGATTTCCTTATTAGTGGATTAGGTGAGAAATTGTTGGAGAAGGGGAAAGGAAGGTAAGGAGGGAGGGGAAGGAGTCTTCCTCTTTGTCTTCCTCTGCCCCCCTCCCCAATAAATTCTTTGGGGTTGAAATGTAAAAGATACAATGGAAAGAGCAGACATTATTTGTGAGCCTATCTCCACCTGAATAATAAAATAATATTCAGAATATATTGTCTTTACGAGTTTTTAATGCCATTTTAGCATGATTTTATGATGCTTGCATTGGCTTTGTGTGCATAGTTGCATTGCTTTTATTGTTTTGATTTCTTTGTTTATATTTGATTTAAAAAATAAAACCACACAGCTGTGTACCACCCAGATGGCATGGTTAATGGGTGGACTATGAATGTCAAGTAAACAATGTTGTTGTTGATGATGATGAAATAAATGCATCTCCCTGTTATTATCAAAGAGATCTCCCCTTCCCATCTTTGAACTTCTCTCTCTCTCTCTCTCTCTCTCTCTCTCCTTCCAAGTCTGAGAGAAAAGTCAGTAAAGGTCACACATATAAAAATGTGACATTTATAAAATCAGACAAGTTGAAAAGGGATTTGCCATTTAAGCAAAGCCCAATTAGTATTGCCCCCTAGTCTGTGAGAGTTTATGGGCCTCATCGGAGCAGACAGAAAATAACTGAGCTTCCCTTTGACAGAAAACTTAACTGTTATGCGCTCAGAGCTTTTAACAAATGGGGCGCCCACAGCCTAGCGTGCCGTTGCTTCTATATGCAACCTGTGGCCATGTAGCAGTTCCATTGTGCATGCACAACTCCACAGAACTTCCTTTTTCTGCTCTGGAGGCAAAGGAAGTCTTCTGATTTGAATGAGAACTAAACAACACAATACCAAGTACTGTAACCCTACAGTCAAGGTATATTTTATGTTCACATTCGCTCTTTGTACTATGTCCTTCGGAAAGGAAATAAAGAAAAGTTTGTTTTTAAAAAGTATTCTGCCTCATGGATGAAAAGCAAAAATCCCTATTTGCCTCAAGCTGTGTTCAGTATGTTTAAGAGAGGCACTGGAATAACTTTATTTCCATTGACCTTTCTCCAGGCTGTGCACATGGTCAGGTGTGTGTTTTAGTGGTTGAGAGTGCTGGGCCAGGACAGAGGGGAAGCCCAGTTTTAAATCCCCACTCAGCCAAGAGACTTAACAGGTGCATTTGAGCCAGACAGTTGGGTTTTTTTTAGACTAACCTACCTCACAGGGTTGTTGTAGAGATGAATTTTTTTGGCAGGGGGTGGGTGGAGCGTGATGTGTGCCACAATGTTTCCTCGTTGGGGGGAAAGTGGGGCGTCAGTGAAGCAAATAAGTGGAAGAATAAGTGGAAGAATATATATTTTTTTTTTCCAGCTGGAAGAAAAGGGTAGCAGTTTTTGGAAACCTGCCTTTTCCCAAACGCAACATTTTCCCTCCCTCCAGAGAGAACAGACAAAAGGCGGCTTGCGAGCCTCTTTGAAATCAAAGGCAGGGATAAGTCTGTGATTCAGCTCGGTGTTTGGGGAAATGGGGAAAGGCGCATGGCTGACATTGGCAGCTGTCATATTGTTTGGAGATTGGGAAGAACTGTGGCATATTTTCAGAAATGGCAGTGGCTAAAGCCACAAGCTGCTTGCAAAGAAGAGCTCTGGGGAGCCAGTCTCCGCAGCACACAAGCGCTCCAGACATTACTGCACTTTCTGCTGATTAGCTTGCCCTTGCTTGTTCTCTTACACGAATGCTGTGCCGGCACATTATCCCATTTGACAGTTCAGAGGAAGGCTGGGGGTCTGCGGCTGGGGAAGATTTATGCTTCTGGTAGCATCTAGGAACAGAGCACTTCATTAAATATTTACCAAATTGTCTGCTTCTGCACCTCGGTTTAAAATCCAAGGTGCTGCCTTGACATTGGGATGTTCTCTCGTGGAAGGTTGTTTTTCCTTTTCAGTTGTTCCCCATGGGGTCCTCCTCACACCACGGTTTAGCAAGCATAAAATGACTCTTGCAGCTTTCTCCCATGTCTGCAGGTGCACTCAGAACATCTTAGTAGGAAGGTGTCAAACACTGATGGCGGGACAGCTCAGTTGGTAGAGCATGTGCCTCATAATCTCAGGGTCATTGGGGCAAAAGATTCCTGCATCGCAGGGGGTTGGACTAGATGGCCCTTGTGGCCCCTTCCAACTCTTCAGATTCTATAATTATTCTTGCCCAGAAGAACTAAGCTGGATGTGATGGTGGTGGAGGAGGGTCTGTCCTGATGACATAGAAAGTGAGTGGTGGAGCCTCTTTCTGCTTTTGCACAAAATGGACTGTTTGAGAGAAAGGGTGTAAAGCTAGCTCGTCTCTTCCACTTTCCCTAGCAGTGCTTTATTGTTTCAAGCTATGGCCTCCCTCATTCCCAGTATTAGAAATGGGTTGGGTAAACCTTGTTTGAAGCAATAAAGAGTAAAGAAAGGAGATGCAGTCTCTCCTCTTCCCTGCTCATTCTATTACAGCCAAACCTTGGTTCCTGAACGCCTCCGTTTTGGAATGTTTCAGCTCCTGAACACCGAAAACCCGGAAGTGACTGCTCCGGTTTTTGAACAATTTTCGGAAGCCGAACGGTCTTCTGGAACATATTAAGTTTGAAAACCGAGGTTCCACTGTACATGTAAAAACTAGACCCCTGCCCTACATTTTATGGTTTTTAAATGGTGAAGGTGTGTAAATATGTAAGCATGGCTGCCTTGTTGCATTTTGTTTGGCGCAGACTCCACATGAATTAACAACCTTCATATTATACTTAATACCTATGACAGTCATTTGATAAACAAAGAGAATCTTCTTCTTCTTCCAATTAATGTATGATAGTTGGACTGTTTCTCTGGGTGCCTGACACTGCCCACTGTTGGCAATGCTCTTGTGTCTTCATTTTTCCGCAGTTAGGAGAAGGAATCAGTGGACAGTTGCCCCATCTGCTGAACCACTGAACTGCCTTCTCAGTGAAGTTTTCTCAGTCAGCCCCGGACTGACTCTGCCTACCCAAGTTAGCCATTGGCTCCTCCTAGTTAGGTAGAGGTGTACCTGGACTTCATGTTCCAATGGAGCCTTGCTTGAGCAAAAACATCTTCCTTTTTACTGTTGAGTTCTGTATTCTTAGTTGTCTTTGGTCCACAGACTCCTGGCTAGCTCCTCAAACACGCCTCCTGCTTTGGTCTTTCATCCGGACTGCAAGAATGCTTCTCAGCCCCTGGCTCACATCAGACTCTTGCCAATGGCTGAGCCATTGGAAGATACCTCCAGCTTATGTATCAAGGGTGGTATTCATCTGCTATCATAATCGTCATGTGCCTCTTCCATGAAAGGTCTGGAGGGTGGCAACATGAGAATGGGCCTTTTCTGTGGTGGCTCCCTGCCTGTGGAATGCTCTCCCCAGAGAGGCTCACTTGGCCCCTTCATTACATATCTTAGGCGCCAAGCAAAAAACATTCTTCTTCTCCCAGGCCTTTGGCTAATTAAACAATCTATGATCTTTTAAGCTGTGGGAGGGATGGTTATTGTTTGTTACTATGGCATATATTTTTGTGTCTCTATATTGTAAACCCCCCTGTGATCCTTAAGTGAAGAGAAGTATAGAAATAATAATTCAACTAAGTTTTACTTAGAGTAAGGTAAAGGGACCCCTGACCATTAGGTCCAGTCGTGGCCGACTCTGGGTTTGCGGCGCTCATCTCGCTTTACTGGCTGAGGGAACCGGCGTTGTCCGCAGACAGCTTCCGGGTCATGTGGCCAACATGACTAAGCCGCTTCTGGCGAACAGACCTATGCAAATCATGAAAGAGGGTATCATTAGGGCCATTAATTTCAATGAGTCTTCTTTGAGTAAAACTCAGTTGAATACCACCCCCTGTACTTACACTTGAGCCATGATCTTGCAAAAATGCTCGATAGACTTGCTTTTGACACCTGCCCACTTCACAGTTTGCAACTATTAAAGGTAGAAGGTAGAATATTTTGCGTACCCCCCACATCCGCTCTGACAGTTTCCAGCTGAATGGAACAAGTCTGTTTTTGCATCATTAATGGACGTGTTTGGAAGGAAGAAGAGTCCCATGGTCCCATGTTGTCCCTCACTTAAGGCGAGGCAACTTAAGTGTGACAGATTGTTTGATGGGCGATGCACATTGATCACGAGGCGGTGCGCCCTAGCAGCAAAATGACAGCATGTGCAAATTCATTACTGGGAACCTTGCCAAAATGTCATTAGAAATGTTGGTCCAGGAAATTAAAGTTGATATACTGTGATGATGGGTGCAAAAATGAGCCAAAGTGTGGAAAACAAGCATTTAGGTTGCAATATCTGAAGAGCCCCCAGCCTAGTTATCCTGGAGGGTTATTGATTATTAAGTGTGAAGAATTGACATACCTAAATTGTGTCTGACGGTGGACTGTTTCATCTTATAGATGTGTGCATAGATTTGGCACCTGGGGACCAAAGATAGGCAAACCATTTGCAAGAAGGGCCTCATTTTCTCAGATGTGAAGATATCGCAACACGCGCAAACACTAAGAGAAGTTTCACAGCTTAGTTGACGGGAGAGAAAATAGCAGAGCAAAGAAAACCTTCTCAGACCCGGAACTTGAAATCACTTGAAATCATGGGATGAACAGAAGTGTGGAAGGGCTCTTAGTTTATCTCCATACTATCCTGGTTTGCAGCAGTTCAGGTTTTCCGTTATTTTTGCTCTTGCTCCACTTCAGTTTGCTGTGGCTTCAGGTTGTTTTCATTTCATATCGTATCGTATTAAGGAGAAATAGGAATGCCTGTTCCGGTACAATTGCCTGCAATTACCCCCCTGCCCTTAGGGTTATTGCTTTGAATGCTTGTCTTGGTTAATGGAAGGGGGTGGGAATCTTCAAATTTGAAGACTACGAATAATTATGCTGCCCACAGAAGCCCTTCTGAATAAAATGGATGTGGCAGAATTTGGCTGATTTCATCTAGAACATTAATGTAGTCTCAACTTTTCCTCTTTCTTTCATTTTTTTTTTTAGCAAATCAGGTTAGCAATGTTGACTGCACTCCTGCTGCACTTCTTACATCATATAAATCAATTGAATTTACTTGTGAGTAGGCATGCACAGCCTTGCACTGTTATAAATCTTTTTTTATGAATGCTTGTTACTTAGTGTCACCAAAGTCATATTTACACTTTTGGGAATTATTTGACCCCCTGTCCCAGGTTATGAGCAGGGGGCAATGACAGAAGGGGTGTGTGTTTGTGTGTGTGTAAAGTTCAAGTAGAAGCACTGTGTTCTTCCCCTTCTACAGTGGTACCTCGGGTTAAGTACTTAATTTGTTCCGGAGGTCCATACTTAACCTGAAACTGTTCTTAACCTGAAGCACCACTTTAGCTAATGGGGCCTCCTGCTGCCGCTGTGCCGCCAGAGCATGATTTCTGTTCTCAACCTGAAGCAAAGTTCTTAACCTGAAGCACTATTTCTGGGTTAGCGGAGTCTGTAACCTGAAGCGTATTTAACCTGAAGCGTATGTAACCTGAGGTACCACTGTAGAAGTAAACTAGTGCTTATAATGCTTGATCCATCTGCACAGTAAGGAACTGTTCAGAGATATACAAAGATACACAAAGCAGGAAAGTTAGATGCTTTTCAGACTGATATGAAAGTAGCCTAGCCCTTGTGGAAATAACCACCAAGTACAACAGAGTCTTTCAAAATCATCAACAGGAGAAAGAGGTTTGTGAAAGAGCAATTGATTAACTACTCAAACATTTTTGGAGTCATCTCTTCTCCCTGCTGCCCCAAAGCCCTAATTTATTGATTTTCCATGTTATTCTTGACTTTCTATATTCTCTGTCAGCCATTCCTTAAAACCAGTCATAGCTTCCTTCTATGGTGTGCCTTTCTTTTTAAAAGTTATGTCAGCCTTACTCAACCTGCCCCTCCTCCCATATTTTGGACTACAACTGCCATCGGTCTAGTCAGCATGACCAGTGGTGAGAGATGCTGGGAATTGTAGTCAAAATATCCAGAGGGCACCAGGCTGGGAAGGCTATGCTATATAATTTCATGTAGACAAGCAAGCTTTCTCAACAAAAAAGTGAGAGATTTTTTAAAAAAATTTGCTTTGTAAGGTCCTGTGCCACAATCCACCAGAAAGTTTTTCCGAACAAGCCCCATTGAAATGATTGGTAGTTGTGTAAGAACATGGTGTTATTATTCAGTGGAGACTGCTCTGAATAACTTACCGTTTGCTTCTAAATGTGGAACAGCCTTGGCCAAGCCACATTGTCTCATAGTTGAGGATTTCAATCTTTTCAAATTCCTAGATGAAACAACCTGATAGTGGACCAATCTGTAGACTGGAACTTAGCTATTCCCCTGGTTTCGCACATCTCTCAATGTTCTTGGCAGTATAAACATATCAAAGCATGCATTTAAACATTGCTTTTGAGAGAAATATAATACATTTTGAGAGGTGTGGTGTTTTTTGTTTTTTTTTAAATACGCCTATTAATGTGGAGAAAGAATGAGCAAAAATATGTGAAGCTGTAAAGGATCACCGAAAGACAGATTTCCCTCAATTAACCTTGTGCTCAGTGTGGGCATAGGCATATGTTGCAGGCAATCACAATACAGATAGTAAAGGAACATGTAAATCGAAAGTATTTTATAAAGGATAAATAGAAGAAGCACCACTTTCACTTTATTCATTGAACGCATTGATGTCATTTGGAAGAACCTGGTTTTTCAAGATTGGTGATGGTTCATTACCAATGGTTGTTCATTGTTCATTGGTTCATTGTTTTTTCCTCCATCCCTCCCACCCTCACCTCAGTCCTCTGCTACTTCATATTAAATTGGTAAATTTATTGGCTCTGGTGAAGGACTGCTGTTCCAGTAACTCTGAATAACAGACTGATTCCCTTCCCTCAACCACCTCTTCTCCCTTCTCCCCCTAGACAAATGTGCCCTGCATTGGGAAGAGGAAGGCTATGGCCAGTGCTCACCATGAAGTTGTTACAGTAAGTGTCACACTTTTCAACACCAACCACAACAAAAGAGGTGCCTGTACTGCGTATCCTTGAGTACCCCCTGAAAAAAAAGAGAACTGGTTATGATGAGCCTATCAGAAGCAATGCTGCACTGCAGTCTCTGAAGATGCTTCGGCACTTTGGATTCTGCATCCAAGCTCCCCAAAACAACTGTGCACGGAGTTAGAGCCAGGAGATTTATACTTCAAGACAAAACGCGAAACAAAAACTCAGCATCAGCAAACTGTTGTGAGCCAGGCAGCAGCCATACCCCCACAGGGGTCTCTTGAAGAGAAACAGTATTCCATCTAAGCTACTGCAGAGCAAAGGCGAAAGGAAGCAAATAGTTCGTTGAAGTTCTGGTGTCCAGCAGGGATTGCGATGTGAGCTGTACGCTGACAAAAGTTGAAAGGCTTTATTTTATTTTAATCATACCAATGGGCGATGTTCAACAGTATCATTTTATTTTATTTTACTACCAGTTCAAGAGATACTATAGTCAACATTTTTTACAAAATCTTACTAGTTTATTAACTGAAACCATTTTGAAGTCCATCTTCTGAGTATGTGCTGAATATACTCTGAATGGTGAATAATCATTTCTGCACCATGGAGCTCTAAATTCTGTGGAAATGGTACTGCAGGGATCACCAGACCACTTGCCTGTGCATGAGTGCGCACACTTTGTTTTTCAATTAAATTGGGTCCTCCTGAATTTGCACGATTTTACAGAGTCCTTCCATACCCACCCCACCCTCAAACACCACGAAATTAATGCTTGCTTTGGAAGACCGCACAATTCAAATTTTAAATCTGGTGCTTGCCAGCTCCACAAAAATATTGATCTAAGACATGGATCATCATGGAACTTCATGATTTTTACACAGAATGACAACAAAACCATCAACAAATCACAGAACGCACCTGATGTTTCGAAGGCATCCCTTGTGAAAATTATGAGGATCCATAAGGATCTGTGCCTCAGATCTACGTTTTTGTATCACATCACCACTGGAAAGTGCCAGATCAATTATTTTTTTACAGTTCAGTCAATGGAGATATATGTTATGTGTATTTTGATTGGGGGCAGGGGGAAACCTGTGAAAAAATACACAATTTCAAGAAGTACCATTTTACTGGAACAATGTGCATGCACTTATCTCTCTTTCTCTTTCTTGCACATCATTCTCCACCTCTCCCCTGACACCCACAGCTGCCCTTTGTCCACTGTCTTGTTCTCTCTCCCTGCCCCCCAGTCTCCCAGATCACTCCTTTAAACTTCCAGTCTTCTCAGTTGCTCTATTCAGCTACTCAGGTGCTTATCAGAGCTTTGAAAAGCATACAGGGCTGCATACAGAGAAGGCACCATTTTTCCAACTTCCTCATTCAGCTCCCCTTTTCAAGAGAAGAAGAAGAAGAAGGGTTTGGATTTGATATCCCGCTTTATCTCAAAGCAGCTAACATTCTCCTTTCCCTTCCTCCCCCACAACAAACACTCTGTGAGGTGAGTGGGGCTGAGAGACTTTAAAGAAGTGTGACTAGCCCAAGGTCACCCAGCAGCTGCATGTGGAGGAGCAGAGACGCAAATCTGGTTCACCAGATTACGAGTCTACTGCTCTTAACCACCCTCACTACTTCATGACAACGTAGACAGTAAATGAAAAGCTCCAGAGGCTTTTCAGGTGAAGTACTCAAGGACATTACAGCAACCACAGGCACCACCTTGACAATCCCATATGTGATGTTTGCTTGGTTTGGTTTTTCTTTTCTAGTTTTAATGCCTGGCTTTTGCTGAAATAGAACAATTGCGCCATGATAGATATAGCAAGGAAGTTGTCCTGTCTTCTCCTGGATTGGAGTCCCAGTGGAGCCCAACGTGAAGCCAGGATACTCATTGGAGGTGTACCATCTCAAAGAGCAGGGAGAGGACAAGGCATGTCCAGTAGTGTAGTTGAATCTAGTGGTAACATCAAACCCATTCATTCGTTCTAGGTAGCTGCTGTCCTATGCAGGGCAGGGCAAAAGATAGCTTGTTCAGGACCCTGGAGAGCTCCCTAGGGCTAGTGTTGCCTTAGCAGCATGCTGGAGCCTTTTTATAGCTGGCTGGTCATATACTTGGGGGTCCACCCCCTGCAAGGAGCTGTCTGTTCATTTACAAGGTCTGTTCTGCTCTGCAGCACTGGCTCCTAAGCAAGGAGGTAATGATGGGTGCATTGGAGGGGTATCCTCTGAACCAGAGGGGTGTAACTAGACCACATTTTTTGGCTTGGATGGTTTGAGAGAGGGGAGGGTTGATGACTCCACAGGTGATGCCTCCTCTAACTCTGAGGATGCCTTTGAGCCTGATGGAGGATCATGACCAGAAAACATTCCAGAAGTGAGTAATGGTGACAGTCCAGTGGCAATGGCAACAAGGCCTAAGATAGATGAAAAGGGGCAGGGAGCTGTGCAGGGCGACCTTGATTACTCCTATTTCTTACTCCAGTGCATTCTTAATTTTCTGTGTTCTCAGCAGGCACATTCCAGCAAACTACCAAAGTACACCGATGCCAGAAACTAAAAGGAAGAGTCATGATTTTTCACCAGAATCTATACTGCATAGCGTAAAAACAGAGGACATTCAGTCACAAGTGGATTTTAACCCATTTAATTAAATGGGTAAAAACAGAAGCCAGATTCACGTGTCCTTCATTTCCTTGCTATTCTCAGCATGTAGCCTTAACCCAAGCTATCTACAATTTGGATTTGTTTATTTGCCACAGGACTCTCTGGCTTCTATTGGAGCTAGCCATCTTTAACCTTGTCTTTATTTTAAGGTACCCCTGCCCGTACGGGCCAGTCGTGTCCGACTCTAGGGTTGTGCGCCCATCTCACTTAAGAGGCTGGAGGCCAGCGCTGTCCAGAGACACTTCCGGGTCACGTGGCCAGCGTGACAAAGCTGCTCTGGCGAGCCAGCACCAGCGCAGCACACGGAAACGCCGTTTACCTTCCTGCTATAAAGCGGTACCTATTTATCTACTTGCACTTAAGGGTGCTTTCGAACTGCTAGGTGGGCAGGAGCTGGGACCGAAGACGGGAGCTCACCCCGCCGCGGGGATTCGAACCGCCAACCATGCGATCGGCAAGCCCTAGACACTGAGGTTTTACCCACAGCGCCACCCGCCTCCTAACTGCCATCTGTATCCGTGAGCTATGTAGGTGCAGAAATGGCGAGGCTCTGTTGAACTAGGACTCAAGCAAGGGTAGCCAAGTGGTGCCCTCTGGATGTTGTTGAACTACGACTCGCATCACCCCAACTGTTGGCCAGGCTGACAAGGACTGATGGGACTTGGGAGTCCAACAACATCAGGAGGATACCATGCATTGGTGGACTCCAGTATTTTGTGCTTTGTCAAACTATATAAGGGGCTGGTTGGTTCTTGAGGCATGGTGGCTGGGCACTGATGAGTGGGTACCAGGAGAAGTGGGGTTGGAGACTGACTTGGAAGAAGGGAACAGTGAACTAGGGGAACCTATAACAGCCAAGAGATGAGAGTCAGAGGCTGGAGAACCTGCAGGATTGGACGGTGTCAGGCTTGGGAAATTCTCTCCTTCCCCCGTAGCATCGAGGATCAAGGAAGAAACAAGAAAGTTTATATTTATGGCTTTATTCAGTTCCTGTGTTGCAAGACAAAGAATCCATTCCTAACTCCATAGCGACGTTGCTCAATCTGAGCTCCTCCCCTCCTTTCCCCAGCAATTGCCCTAGATTCTATGGGGGGCCTCGGGAATCAGTTGTCATTGAGCCCTTTGCTCTTGAATTCTGATTGAGCGACGAGTATGAGGGGATGGTGGTGCTTCTATGCTTTCTTTCCTTCCCAAGGACGTCTCTGCTGGCAGTTCTCCCCCTTCTTCTCCTAACAGCTCATAACTTGGCAGCTCTGCTTTCTGCTGTAATTCAATCCTGTTTCTCTCTTCTCCTGAAACTACTGGGGAAGGGGGGGCAAATTCCCCCCACCCCCTCCTCCTCTGAGGGAAGCAGAGGAGAGGGATGGGGCGTTCCCCAGCCCTGACAGAGGGTGAATAATAGGTGGAGGAGAAAGGAGAGAGAGGTCTGGCTGGTGTAGAGTCATGGGTTTCCACCACTCCTCCTCCTGTCCTCTCCTCTCCCGGGACCAGGCAAGGATTGAAGTGGAAGGAGCAGGAGCAGGTCACGCACAGACAAAGTCTTAGACTGCTTGCACGCAGCTTGGCTTGGGAAATTATACAAGCTGAGGTCAGAGCTTTGTTGCGGCAACCGCCTCCTCTTGTGCACACCTAGGAGAGTAGCTAAGAGACTTTGGTCTTGTGGACAGGCCTTTCTCTAACTTTTAGGTGTACTTTGGCAATAAAAAATCAATTCCTCACTCTGGACATTCTGTGCCTGACAGTCCAGTGAAAAACCGCTGGAGAATTCCTGTAACTCTGGTACCTTCAGCCTGGATAAGAAAGAAACCTTGAAAAAAATGATGTTCCTGAAAGAAGACTACAACTTCCATTAGTAAGCAAGGACAACAGCAGAGCTTAGCTCTAATGGCGATAAACTGTTGTTGTTTGTGCTTGACCTTTATTGCTCTGTGCAGCAACTCTTTATACAATAAGTTCATTTATTACTAGAAGAATGCAAACAGTTAGGATTGGATTTATGATTCGGTCTCTTGATACCATGTGGCTAACTTAGTTAAAACCTTGTACAATGGCAGTATATTGAAATGGGATAATGTGGACATGGTTACAGTAGCAAAGACGTCTTTGCGATTTTCTAATGAATTACTGTAGCATGTGATTTAGAAATCCTGCTAAGAATGTGTTCTTGGCAGCATTTGGTGAAACTTGTTTCAGTTATAAATTACAATTTTTAACAGAAAAAGTTTTGTATTGGGTAGAGGGGGTGATTTCTCATTCCATGAAGAGGTTAGTAGAGGGTGAAAGCGATCCTGAAACCTATGCTTTATAATATTTAATGCAGTCTTAAGGAAAACATTTTCTGAGTAAGAGAATGTGAATATATTTCATTTATTTCCTTTAATAGTAAAAAAAAAAAATTGACATCTTTATTCCTATGCATTAATTATAGTTGAGGTTATATGTAAGAATATTGTTGGGATTCAATTTCTGTTATCAACTGTTTTCTTAAAACCTTTTTCTATCCCTCTACCCCTAGATTACCCAGATCTTTATGAAATGCTTATTTTGATTGTACATCTGTAAATTAGTGTTTTAAATACAAACAGCTGTTGATAAAGAGAGTAGGTGCAGTCTATATTAATCCCAACACATGAAACTGACAGTACAATAACCTGTATCAAATATTCAGCAATCAAATAATCTCCTCATTAAATGAATATATGGACCTGTGTGGCCTTAAAAATCAAATAACCCTCTGGCCTGAACCCCCCCCCAAAATAAGTCATTAAAAGCAGATTCCCCCAGCCTCAAAATTGTAGTAAATGAATGATATATGTCACTTTTCTAAAGTGGCATTTTTGGTAGGTAGGTCTCTGCTAATTTTTATTTAATTTGGCTTAGTAAAGGCCACTTATAACTGTGCAGTCTTTGTATAATATATTGTCCTATCTTGATCTGTGCTACGCTTAGACAGATGGATCATAGTTCCTCTTGTCTTTGTCATTGTCCAAGTCCACTTCTACCACCACATCTCTCTCTCTCTCTCTCTCTCTCTCTCTCTCTCTCTCTCTCTCAGCGTGGTCCATCAGTTTTCACAAACATCATCTCTTTCTGTCTACCTATTATTCTTCAATATCACATGGCTGTCACTTTGAAGTCCCTCAAGGATAAAAATGCCATAGCTGTCACTACACAGAAAAATGCTGTCGTAATCTTGGTGTAGCGGAATGGCTGAAAACGAGGTGGCCGTGCACCTTGCTTTACAGAAGAGAGTCCTCTGTTTTGAAGGCATCTACTATTTGAAGAGCTGCGCTGTCCAAGACTGGTACAAAAATAGCAAGGGCCTTGGAAGCTGCCCAACTCCAGTTAGCACCCAGACAGCCAGACTGAGCAGTCGCACAAATCACCTAGTCATTAGATAATAGTTTTGCGTGATCTTAGCAAAAGGCCAAGAAGCGGCACAAATTCTCAAGGAAATTGGCATCGTTATTGGCCGTTCACCACTCCTAGACTGCAAATTGTATATTCTTTCTGTTTTCCCAGGAGTTAAGGCTGACTACCCTTTAAAACCTTTGGTGATTTCCCTTTTAGTTGCAGCCAGACTGGTTGCAACACAGGGATGTTTCTGTTATTAATGTGGACTGTTGGTGTAACCCTCCGCCCCCCAAAAACCCCCACCTTTCTCAGAAAAATTAACCCATCATTTTCAGATTTTGAAGGGAACTGCTAAAGCCAGGGGTCAGCAACCTTTTTCAGCAGGGGGCCATTCCACCGTCCCTCAGACCATGTGGTGGGCCGGACTATATTTTGGAAAAAAATATGAACACATTCCTATGCCCCACAAATAACCCAGAGATGCATTTTAAATAAAAGCACACATTCTACTCATGTAAAAACACCAGGCAGGCCCCACAAATAACCCAGAGATGCATTTTAAATAAAAGGACACATTCTACTCACGTGGGCGGGCCGGATTGAGAAGGCGATTGGGCCGCATCCGGCCCCTGGGCCTTAGGTTGCCTACCCCTGTGCTAAACCAATGGACTTTGCTGCCACTTGGAGGGCTTTTGTGATGCACATGAACAAACACAGAAAGCTACTTATCCCTTTTTAATATATATATATAAATCTTTATTAGTTTAAAATACAATCATACAGTAAATGTAAGTAGAACAAAATTAAGCACAAAAGAGAACAAAAGAGAGAAAAAAGGGATTCGTCACCTCAAAAAGGTCGAAAAAAGGTTTAAATATGACAAAAAAGAAAAAAAGACAATTAAAAGAACCACATATTTATACAACATCATGTTATACTTACCTTTACTGTATGATTGTATTTTAAACTAATAAAGATTTATATTTAAAAATAAAAAAGGAAGCTACTTATCCCATTGAAGTATCTTTATTTGGCAATGCCTATGAAATACAACACTGTTTGACTGATTGGTCCAAATCTTGCCTCTTTCACCCCAGTCTGTTTAACAAGACAACATTCGTCCTCTTCATTTATTGCCTCCTTCTCTGTGTTGTACTAACCTTGGCTTTTCCAAAAAGCCATTCCGGTGACAGTTTTGTATTGCGTTTCTATTTAAATTATAATTTCCAAATTACCAAAATTCCAAGTTATGCAAATTTTATGCAAATCTGCACCCTTGCCTATCCTCTTCCTTGGTGATGCATTTCTTTTTCTTTTTCTTTTTCTTTTTCGTGATGCCTAAGTGTCCTCTCTAGCTAAGAGTATGGAGTAGTATGAGCCAGAAAATCCCTGCTTTGAAACCTCTCAAATGTGGAAAAAAATCACAAGAAAAAAAATCACTTTGGGACTTTTTAAATTTTTGTTTCTTAATCCTGTGCCTTTTTTGTGTCATGGCTGATTTTGCTAGAAATAGTCTACCCGCCTCTAGTTTTTGTCTGGGTTCTCTCAATTCCATCCAACCTATATTAAGTACTGTACTAATAACTCTGTCCATGTATACTATTATTGTGAGGATTTTTTTTTCTGGGGAAAGGGGTAGACTATATATCTGCATCTCTTCTATTTCCTGGGCCCAACAAGGATCCAACTGCTGGAAAAGCCAGACAGGTTTCTTGGTGGTGGCCCCCTAAGTGTAGGTCATTAAAGTAACGAAGTGGCTCTATGGCAGAGAACAAATGGGAAGGCCCTGCTCCCTCAACTGTCTGGTAGAAAGACAAAAACCAGAGCTGAGGTGTGAGAGCTAGAAGCTAGAGGCTAGAAGCAGGCTGGGCAGCTGAGAGACAGAGCCATGCCTGATTTCTGCTGGAATCCAAGAGTGTGGCTCTGGGAGAAACACAACCTTCATGGGGTGTTGATGCTGTAAACCACCCTATCATAGACTCAGATTGTGTATACAGTGAGGAGGGGGAAGTATTTGATTCCCTGCTAAATTTGCCCGTTTGCCCTGTGATGAAGAAGTGAGCAGTCCATAATTTTAATGGTAGGTTTACTGTAGCCGTGGGAGACAGAATAATAACAGGAAAACACCCAGAAGACAAATGTCAGAGATTGATGTGCATTAATAAGTATTTGATCCCTTTGCAAAAGATGACTTAGTACTTGGTGGCAAAACCCTTCTTGGCAATTACAGAGGTCAGACGTTTCTTGTAGGTGGCCACCAGGTTTGCACACATCTCAGGAGGTATTTTGTCCCACTCCTCTTTGCAGATCTTCTCCAAGTCAGTAAGATTTTGAGGCTGATGTGTAGCTACTCAAACCTTCAGCTCCCTCCACAGATTTTCGATGGGATTAAGGTCTGGAGACTGGCTAAGCCACTCCAGGAGCTTAATGTGCTTCTTCTTGAGCCACTCCTTTGTTGCCTTGGCCATGTGTTTTGGGTCATTGTCATGGTGGAATACCCATCCGCGACCCATTTTCAATGCCCTGGCTGAGGGAAGGAGGTGCTCACCCAAAGTTTGACGATACATGGCCCCGTCCATCGTCCCTTCAATGCAATGAAGGTGTCCTGTTCCCTTAGCAGAAAAACACCCCCAAAGCATAATATGTCCCCCTCCATGTTCAACGGTAGGGATGGTATTCTTGGGGTCGTAGGCAGCATTCCTCCTCCTCTAAACATGGCGAGTTGAGTTGATGCCAAAGAGCTCAATTTTGGTCTCATCTGACCACAACACTTTCACCCAGTTCTCCTCTGGATCATTCAGATGTGCACTGGCAAACTGCAGACCGGCCTATACATGTGCTGTCTTGAGCAAGGGGACCTTGCGGGCTCTGCAAGATCTCAGTCCTCAACAGCGTAGTGTGTTACCAACTGTTTTCATGGTGACTATGGTCCCAGCTGCCCTGAGATCATGTGATGGCCTGGGATTCCGATTCGGAGGGTGAAACAGAGGAATCCCGGCCTGCACAGGAGTCCCCGCCTCCAGGGCCGGCTGAACTGGGGCAAGGCCTTGATGCTGAAGAGCCTGCACCTGTGGCAGTGCATCAGGAGCTGGCCCCAGGTGAAGCCCTTCGGGCCCCAGAGGGGCTTGATGACTCAGTGGCCACAGGTGAGCCTCCTCCAGGGCCCAGTAACCCTTCGGCCTCTCCTGATCTGCAGAGGCTTAGGGCAGAGAGGCGAAGGGAACTGGTTGCCCCCAGGAGGAGTGCTCGCCTTAAGGCCAGAGGAGGCGGGGCTCCTGGGGACCGGGACCGGCCCTGGCCTTAGAAGAGGATAAAAGCCCAGTCAGCCCGGCCCCAGGTTGCGGGAGCAACGTCGTTGTTGGCTTCGGACCTTCCTGTGTTCCTGATCCCTGCTCGGCTTCCTGTTCCTGACTATCCGGTACTCCTGCTCCCTGCTCGGCCTCCTGTTCCCGACCATCCGGTGTTCCTGTTCCCTGCACAGCCTCCTGTTCCAGCATTCCTGTTCCCCGCCCGGCTCTCTGCCTCGGACCTTGCCCCTCTTCGTGTGGACTCTGCTACACCCAAGGTACCTTACCCCCGGGACCAGCACAGTTTGCTCCCGCCAAACCCGCACTCCCCCTTCGTAGGGGTGCGTTCGGGAAGAGCCAGAGGCCATGGCTGACCAGGCGGCTGCACTGGTGGCTTTGGCCCAGAAGAACCAGGCCTTGACTCACACCGTGCAGCAGCTCAGTGACGCGGTTGTGGCACTTCAACAACGCTTGGAAGCCCTACCGGCTCCTGGGGCCGACGCCCGGCTCCTGGCAAGTACCCAGTGGCTTTGCCTGAGAAATTTGATGGAGCCCCGGCCAGCTTTCCCATGTTCCTGGCCCAGGCCAAGCTGTATATTCAGGGGCGAGCCCGGAACTTTCCTGACGATCGCACCAAGGTGCACTTTTTGATTAGTTTGTTAAAGGACCAGGCGGCCAAGTGGGCGTTGCCGCTACTCAGGCAAGACTCCCCTTGCTGGCAGACTATACGGGGTTTTGCAATCGTTTGGAGGCCGCGTTCGGCAACCCCCAGAAAGGGAGTCAAGCCAACCGGGCGATTCGGCGTTTGAAACAGGGCAAGTCCACGGTGGCCGCATATACCACGGAGTTTCGGCTGTTGGCACAGGACTTGACCTGGAATGATTCGGCACTGCGGGACCAGTATCTCGAAGGGCTTTCGGACGAGGTACTGGACCAGTTGGCCACAATGGAACGCCCCACCACGCTAGACACTCTCATTCAACGGAGTCTACAAATAGACGACCGGTTGGAGGATCGTCGTCAGGCCCGGGGTCGCCGACACTTCCAGTTCACGGCACCAGCTTTTCCGGCAGCCCCACGGTCACAACTGATTTAACGGAGGAGCCTATGCAGCTCGGGGCAGTGCGGCCACGCCTTTCCCCGCAGAGAAGGCGCGGCGTCGGGAGGGAATCTCTGTCTTTACTGTGGCGGAAGTGGACACTTCGCTCGGTCTTGCCCTGAGAAACGCCAGCCGCAGGGAAACCGCCAACCCCAGTAGCTGATGGCCCTAGCTGCCGGGGGTCCCAAACCGCGCAGAATGGGCCTGCATCAATGGACTCGCAACATCTTATGGTTCCGGTACGTTTATACCCTCCAGGTGGGCCCTGGATCCCCACCCATGCTTTGGTGGATTCAGGGGCAACCCGCTCTTATATGGACGCTGCTTTTGCCGCCCATCATCAGGTGCCACTCCGGAACAAGCCAGTACCGGTCCAGGTGGAAGCGATTGACGGACGACTTCTGTGTTCAGGTGCCGTTACTCAGGAGACCCAGCCCCTGGTCCTGTGTTTCCAGCAGCACCGGGAGTTGCGAACTTTGGACATTGCCTCTATGCCCCGCTTCCCCTGGTGCTCGGGATGGACTGGCTGGAAGCCCACAACGTTCAGATTCACTGGGTCAAACGGACCGTGCACTTCCCAGACCCATGTTCCCATGCTCAATCCGGGACGCTGGCGGCCGCGCCCTCAGAGGAGGCAGCACCCACGCTCCCAGCCGTGTATCAGGACTACCAGGACGTGTTCGAGGAACGGGGGGCAGACCAGCTGCCGCCGCATCGGCCTTTTGACTGCGGCATAGACCTCCAACCCGGAGCGCCTCTACCAGTGAGTCGCTTATATTCTCTAACAGAGCCAGAGCGCGAGGCTTTGCAGGACTTCTTGCGCAAGAACCTGGAGCGTGGGTTCATTAGGCCGTCCACCTCGCCTACCGCGGCACCAGTGCTTTCGTTAAGAAGAAATGTGGGGAACTCCGCCCTTGCCATGATTACCGAGCCTTGAACAAAATTACCGTCCCAGACCGATACCCCTTGCCCCTTATCTCGGAGCTGCTGGAGCGGGTGCAAGGGGCACAGGTGTTCACCAAGCTGGACCTCCGGGGGGCCTACAACTTGATTCGGATCCGAGCCGGGGATGAGTGGAAGACAGCGTTTGGGACCCGGTACGGGCAGTTCGAATATTTGGTTATGCCTTTCGGGTTGTGCAACGCGCCTGCTGTGTTCCAACGCTACATCAACCACGTGTTTCAGGACTTGTTAGACAAGTACGTGGTGGTGTATTTGGATGACATACTGATTTACTCCCGTGACCCGGCTCGCCATGAGGGACATGTCCGGACCGTGCTGCAGCGCTTGCGTGAGCACCGTTTGTACGCAAAGCTCAGCAAGTGCGAGTTCCATCAGCGGACTGTGGACTTCCTTGGTCACCGGCTCTCTCCGGATGGGGTGCAAATGGACCCGGGAAGGTGACAGCGGTTCAAGAATGGGCGGCACCCCGGAACCGCAAGGACCTACAACGTTTCCTGGGGTTCGCCAATTACTACCGGACCTTCATCGCTGATTATGCTCATCGCACCACCCCGTTGACCCGGCTACTGCGCCCAAAGACGCCGTTTTCCTGGGACAAGGAGGCAGAGGAGGCGTTTCAGGGGTTGAAGGCCTGTTTCCAGAGGGCACCAATCTTACAACATCCTGACCCCTCTCGACCCTTTGTGGTGGAGACCGACGCCTCCAGTACGGCTCTCGGTGCCGTCTTGTCTCAACAGATTGGGCCCGAGCGCCACTCTTACCCTGTGCCTTCTATTCCCGCCAGCTCCTACCAGCGGAGCGTAACTATACTGTGTGGGAGCGGGAACTACTGGCCATCAAGGTAGCCTTTGAGGTCTGGCGCCACCATCTTGAGGGTCACGACATCCGGTGGAGGTAAGAACCGACCACCGGAACCTGGAGTACCTCCAGACCACCCGCAAGCTGAACCAAAGACAGATCCGGTGGGCGTTGTTCTTTTCCCGGTTCCAGTTTCGGATCCGCTACATCCCTAGCTCTCAGAATCTGAAGGCGGATGCCCTGTCCCGGAAACCTGAAGACAACGCAGACACGGTACAGCAAGCAGAACCCGCCACGATCCTACCTCCGGCCGCATTCCTGGCCACCCAGGAGGCGCAGCCACTGCAGGTTCGGGTGCGGGAACAGCAGCGGGTCGACGCTTGGGCCCAGGAACGACTCCGGGAGCTGGCTGAAGGGTCCAGCCCACAGTATCCGGGGCTGGTCCTGCATCAGGGCCTCCTGCTGCACCACGGTCGTCTGTACATCCCGCCAGGGCCACTGCGGCTGGAGGTTCTCCGGATGGCCCATGATGCCCCGGCAGCGGGGCACTTTGGACGGTATCGGACCACCCATCTGGTCAGTCGTGAGTTTTGGTGGCCCCGCCTGAAGGCTGACGTGGCTCGCTACGTTGCTGGTTGTGATGTCTGCCGACGCGCCAAGGGGCCTACCGGGCGACCCCCGGCCTACTTCAGCCATTGCCAGTTCCACCGCGCCCTTGGCACACAGTTTCGTTGGACTTTGTAGTGGACTTACCCTCGTCTCGTGGCTGTACCTGCCTTCTGGTTTTCTCCGACCATTTCACCAAGATGGTGCACTGCGCTCCCTGTCCATCTGTACCCACAGCCAAGGAAACTGCTCAGCTGTACCTTCAGCATGTCTTCCGCCTGCATGGACTACCTGAGCGCGTGGTGTCCGACCGGGGCGTTCAGTTCACATCCCGGTTCTGGCGAGCATTACACCAGACCCTCGGGACAGAGGTCTGCCTCTCGTCAGCCTACCACCCACAGACCGATGGCCAGACGGAACGGGCGAACGCGGTGCTGGAGCAGTACCTCCGGTGTTACTGCAGCTACCAGCAGGATGACTGGGTCGACCACCTGGCATTGGCGGAGTTCGCCTATAACAACGCGGTGAATGCGTCCACCCAGCAGACCCCGTTCCAGGCCAGTTATGGTTATCATCCACGGCTGTTTCCAGAGGTGCTGCCGGCATCCGCGGTCCCGGCGGTGACGGAGTGGCTTCAAGAGCTCCAGTCCCAGCAACAGCTTTTGGTGGAGCAACTGCACCAGGCCAAGGAAGCGTACAAAGCCCAGGCCGACCGCCACCGCCAGGTGGGGCCGGAACTCGCGTCGGTGACCTGGTTTGGCTCTCCACTCGCCACCTCCACCCCTCTCGACCTTCGCGGAAGTTGGACGCCCGCTTCACCGGCCCGTTCCCTATCGTAGACCAAATCTCTCCTGTGGCATTCCGTCTCCGGTTACCCGCAACCCTGAAGGTTCACCCGGTCTTCCACAGGTCCCTTTTGAGTCCGGTGGCCCCACCCGACGAGTTCCACCAGAACCGTCCCCGACCGCAGCCAGTGTTGGTTCGGGGAGAGCCTGAGTACGAGGTGGAACGCATCCTGGACTCCCGATACCGCAGGGGAAAGCTGCAGTATCTCATTGACTGGAAGGGGTACGGACCGGAGGACCGTTCCTGGGAACCAGCGGCCAATGTCCATGCACCTGCCTGCCTCCGAGAGTTCCATGCGACGTATCCCGGCAAGCCGGGTCCGGACCCTCGGTTGAGGGGGGGGCCTGGGTGATGGCCTGGGATTCCGATTCGGAGGATGAAACAGAGGAATCCCGGCCTGCACAGGAGTCCCCGCCTCCAGGGCCGGCTGAACTGGGGCAAGGCCTTGATGCTGAAGAGCCTGCACCTGTGGCAGTGCATCAGGAGCTGGCCCCAGGTGAAGCCCTTCGGGCCCCAGAGGGGCTTGATGACTCAGTGGCCACAGGTGAGCCTCCTCCAGGGCCCAGTAACCCTTCGGCCTCTCCTGATCTGCAGAGGCTTAGGGCAGAGAGGCGAAGGGAACTGGTTGCCCCCAGGAGGAGTGCTCGCCTTAAGGCCAGAGGAGGCGGGGCTCCTGGGGACCGGGACCGCCCCTGGCCTTAGAAGAGGATAAAAGCCCAGTCAGCCCGGCCCCAGGTTGCGGGAGCAACGTCGTTGTTGGCTTCGGACCTTCCTGTGTTCCTGATCCCTGCTCGGCTTCCTGTTCCTGACTATCCGGTACTCCTGCTCCCTGCTCGGCCTCCTGTTCCCGACCATCCGGTGTTCCTGTTCCCTGCACAGCCTCCTGTTCCAGCATTCCTGTTCCCCGCCCGGCTCTCTGCCTCGGACCTTGCCCCTCTTCGTGTGGACTCTGCTACACCCAAGGTACCTTACCCCCGGGACCAGCACAGATCATTGACAAGTTCCCCCCGTGTAGTTCTGGGCTGCTTCATCACCGTTCTCCTGATCATTGCAACTCCACAAGATGAGATCTTGCATGGAGCCTCAGACCGAGGGAGGTTGACAGTTATTTTGTGTTTCTTCCATTTGTGAATGATTGCACCAGCTGTTGTCACCTTCTCACCAAGCTGCTTGGCAATAGTCTTGTAGCCCAGTCCAGCTTTGTGCAGGTCTAGAATCTTGTCTCTGACATCCTTGGACAGCTCTTTGGTCTTGGTCATGGTGGCTACTTTGGAATCTGCTGGATTGATTGCTTCTGTCGACAGGTGTCTTTTGTAAAGGTGCTGTAACGAGCTGGGATTACAGGTAAGACCTCTCCCTTACAGCAGGCGCTTCTAATCTCAGCTCGTTACATACAGTGAAGATACCAGGTAGCCTGACATCTGACTGGTTGATCAAATACTTTCCCCCTCATGGGCCCTGAACCCGGCCTTGGCTAGGGAGGGCGGGGTATAAATAAAAAATATTATTATTATTAGTAGTAGTAGTAGTAGTAGTAGTGTAAATAAACCATAGATTTACACAGTCTCTGCTGTCCCTCATGCTGAGGAAAGCAAACTTTTGGTAAGCACCCAGAACCCCTGGAATCTCATACTGCTGGGAGATTGGCGTGGCAATGAACAATATTCATAGTATATACATAACTCAATGCAAATATTAACATAGAATATACTGTACAGTTTTGCAAAACTAGGGCAATCCTTGGAGAATTCGAGTTCCTTAAAATGACAAGATTATTTTTTGCATTTGTCGGCAAATGCAATTCTTCATCAAGATAATGCTATTATTGAGTAGGAGGGTTTATTATTGTTATTATTACAACGTAGCTGGTTGAACTGATTATACAAATGTGAAAAGGGAATTGGAGTGGTTTGTGGCATAAGCTCGCAGGGATGGGCAAAATGAATTCGCAAGTGTTTGCATAGTGCCTAGTACAATGGAGGACTGATTCTAATTAAAGCCTTTGGGAGTTGCTCCAGTAGACATTTCCAATAATATTGCCAGAAAACCTAAAGGCATCTCTCTCTCTCTCTCTCTCTCTCTCTCTCTCTCTCTCTCAACATGCTCTGTTATCTGAGCACTATTAAAAGATAAGCAAGAGCAAGAAGTCTTGCTGTGGAACAGTCACAGCTGCCGCTGTTTCACCTGGAAGTTTTTCTCTCCACAGAAGCAAATAGATTTGATGAAGGATTTACTACTTGAGTGATTGTCTAGTGAAATCTAATGCTACTGAAAAAACACTGTGCAATTGCTTCCTTTTTGGTAACAAGCCATCAGATGCTTTGAAAAACCCTTTTAAGGGGGAGAATAGAAAAAATGACCTATTTGTGAATCGGTTGTAATTGTTACATGCACTTTCATACCCCTCTCTTTAGTCTGAATTATGTTTGAGTGGCTTCCATCAGGCTAAAAACCCAATAAAAAACAATTAATATCTGCTTCTTTCATTTTATAAGCTCACTGCAGTGACTTTGCAATTGGTAGAATATATATGCGTGTGTGTGTGTTTGCTTTTGCTTTCCCCCCTTAACTTTGTTTTTAATTTAACAACATTTCATTTCCACTGAGTTAGAAATGTAACAACTAAATATTTGTATCTTATCTATTTCTCTTCTCACAATTAATTTAAATTGGTAAGCTCTTCAAGCAAACATAACTTTTTCATAAGCTTACAGAGTTGGAGAAGAATCATTTGGTTTATCTCTTCTACTTTTCTGTTGCTTAAAGCTACACTGACTGCTAAGAATGGCTTCCTTTGCTTCTAAATGCTTGGAAAGTGATTGGTTGTCTATTTCCTGTGTTGTTGTTCTTTATTAAATTTCTATTGCACCTTTAATTTCAAGGACTGCTGGGTGGCCAAAAACAAAGAAAAGGAAAAACAAAAGAAAAAACATTTTAAAAATATCTTCTGCAGCTAAAAATTTAATGCCTAGGTCAGAGGTTATCAACCTTTTTGTGTCCATGGCTCCCTTGACCAACTACAGTGGTACCTCGGGTTAAGAACTTAATTCATTCTGGAGGTCCGTTCTTAACCTGAAACTGTTCTTTTTTTAAAAAAATTTTATTTTATTTTATTAAAATAATTCAACATTAATACATACATATTACGAATATACAGACAAACATACATTTCATACAGTCCTTAAATATATTCATAGATACCCATACTCAATCCCACACATACTTCCTTTTCCTACCACCATCCCTCACCCCTCACCCCACCCTTGTGTTAGACTTCCAATCTACTCAATTGCAATTTCTTTCCACTTCTATTACTTTCTTTCACACACTTTTAAACCAACTTTCTACTTCTTTTTCTGTTACACATTGTTATCCAACTTATTTAGTATTTCAGTATTTATAATGGAACTTAATTATTCTAATAGGAGTTCTGATTTTTCAATATGATTTTGCAAATACCTTCTCAACCTGAAACTGTTCTTAACCTGAGGTACCACTTTAGCTAATGGGGCCTCCCACTGCCACCACGTGATTTCTGTTCTCATCCTGAAGCAAAGTTCTTAACCCGAGGTACTATTTCTGGGTTAGTGAAGTCTGTAACCTGAAGCATCTGTAACCTGAAGCGCCTGTAACCCGAGGTACCACTGTATATGCTTTCTGCGGCAGCCCTGTGGGGCTCAGGAGTCCAGTTAGGTCACCCCTTGCCGCAGCTGCTGCCCCTGGTCTCTGAGCTGCCCCCCTGCCCCAAAGAGAGGTGCCTCCTCACACTGCCCCACAGGGGCCTGAGAAGCACCCCCTGGCCAGCCCCAGAGGCACCATTCGCCTAGGGAGCTTGTAGCCAGGGCTGCAGCAACAAACAGCTGTGCAAGCCTTTGGGGGCCAGAGACATGAACAGGCATTAGAGGAGGGAGGGAAGGAAAGAGGGACAGAGGCCAGTGTTGCCCACGGCACCCCTGACCATCATCCAAGGAACCCCAGGGTGTCACGGCACACCTTGAAAACCACTGGCCTATGTGAAAAGGGATGTTTTAAAATTCAGTCTGAATGTTAATAATGAGGCAGACAGAAGCACATTACCTTCTTGTTTCCTTAAAAGTGCAACTCTATGCATGTGCAAGATGATTAATGCTTAGAATTCAATGGGATTTATTGCCAGGTAATGATGTATGTCTACTCTCTTGTCTACGCAGGAATGCATCCCTCTAAATTCAGTGCGGTTTACTTCCAGGTAAGAGGGGCTAGAATTGCAGCCTAACTTCTTTGCTACATTAGGTTAGAATGCTGCAGAAACTTACCTGGGAGTACACCCAGTTGAACTTAATGGACATTACTTCTGAGTAGACACAGATAGGATTGTACTGTTAGCTCCCCCCCCTTTCCCTTTTAGTTAAGGTCATTACTTCACACGTCTTCTGTTCATTTTAATATTTGTTCACAGAAATAATTTTCGCAATATTGGCAATTCATTTAAACATTTGCTGAGTGTGCACTTACCCCATTTGTAACACAGACGTCTGCTTTCTAATAAGCAACACAAGACATAATTGATGTTTGTCATGATTACTGAGCGAAGCTATGTGAACATTGCAACCAAATTGCAAAGTCTTATGTTCATTCTCCAGTAAAAATGAAATATCATTGTAGAGCATGTGCTTGAACCATGAAATTAACAAGTTGTTTTTAATTGACCTGCTTCGTCTGCAAGCAAATAATTTGTTTACTAATCTGGCTTTTTAACTCTCATTTTGTTTGGTTCTTACAGACTAAAATGCATCACACATAGATATTTATTTCAATAATGGCTTTTATAGAGTTGATATATGTGTGGTGTTTTACACGGTTTTTGAAAACACTCTGTGCAAAAAGTAAATAGTCATCTTGTCCCATAATGAAAATTCCAAAATCCCCACCAGGGCCATCCAAAAGATCACAAAATAATGTGCATGTTTTCATGTTCTCCAGAACTCTTCCTTCAGGTGGAATAAAATTTTTGACTTGTGGTGACAAGGCCGCGAGCTCATCCACACTTACATTTTGCCCCCCTCTTTCCAGACAGAGGCCCGTCCTTAAAGCTCCATGTCCCAAGTGTGTTTGGTTGGTTGTTTTCCCCCAAGCTTTCCTCGTGAAAATCTGCTCTTTAAAGCAGAATCGGAGTAAACGTTTATTTGGGTTTTCTGTTGATTGACATTTGCTCCAATTGAGCTTTAAAGAGTGGGTTTTTGCGGGGAAAGTTCTGGAGCAAAAAAATAAAGAAATAAAGTTGGGGGTGCTCAGACACAGAGCTTTAAATTGGTTTATGCTTGGAAAGAGCAGAGGAAAAGTAAGTGTGGATAAGCACCATTAGTATGCATCTGGTAAGAGACTTAAGGCAAAGGTGACGGCAGACATTCAAATGAGGCTCTTAGATGCTGTGCATAGACCCTCCAAATGTCTCTATTTTCTGGGGTCATTCCCAGACTTACAGGAGCTGTCCAGTTTCTGATTTGCTCACAGAATGTCCTGCTTTTCCTTAGGATGTCCCTATTTTCATCAGATAAATGTTGAAAGGTATGGAGTTATGCGACCCCCCAAGGACATAAGTAACTATGCAACCTTTAAAAGACATCTGAAGGCAGCCATGTATAGGGAAGTTTTACTTAATGTTTAATTTTTTTTAGGTTTTTCAATGTGCTGAGGCAACCCAGTCAGATAGATGGGGTATAAATAATAAAATCATCCTCATTTTCCTCCTCATCATCATTGAATAGGATGTCCCTATTTTCATCAGATAAATGTTGGAGGGTATGTGTACAGCTATCTGGTTGCACCAAGGACTACACAGGGAGGAACAAACATAACAAATGGCTATTTCTACGCCTTCTTTATTTAGCAAACGATGGAACCTATGAATGGCCTATTTCTCTTTGAGGTGGTAAATTTGTGTCTTGGCCACTTCTGATTGCAGGTGTGAAGTGATGCTGCCTAGATATCTTCACTGCCTCTGTGAGAAATAGACCTATACAAATAAGATCCAATGTATATGCTGAATTCACATAGACTCAAATAATTATTGAATGGCAGCGGCATGTTTCAAAATTTGAAGAAGAGTTTGGATTTGATATCCCGCTTTATCACTACCCGAAGGAGTCTCAAAGCGGCTAACATTCTCCTTTCCCTTCCTCCCCCACAACAAACACTCTGTGAGGTGAGTGGGGCTGAGAGACTTCAGAGAAGTGTGACTGGCCCAAGGTCACCCAGCAGCTGCATGTGGAGGAGCGGAGACGCGAACCTGGTTCCCCAGATTACGAGACTACTGCTCTTAACCACTACACCACACTGCATTTTTGTCTACATGTTCTAGCACAGGATAAGGCCAAAAAGGTAAAGGTAAAGGACCCCTGGCAGTTAAGTCCAATCGCGAGCGACTCTGGGGTTGCGGCGCTCATCTCGCTTTACTGGTCAACAGTTTTTCCAGGTCATGTGGCCAGCATGACTAAGCCGCTTCTGGCAAAACCAGAGCAGCGCACGGAAACGCTGAGCAGTACCTATTTATCTACCGGTACTTGCACTTTGACATGCTTTCGAACTGCTAGATTGGCAGGAGCAGGGACCGAGCAACAACTCACTTAAACGGGAACTTTATGCCAGAAAACTGTAATGGGACTCAGACTGGAGTAATTCTTATCTACGTGTGGGATGCGATTTGTCATTCAGCAGCATCCTAGTACATCATTTAAAGATTCTGTAGACTCCCAACGGATGTTTCAATGCTTTTCTTTATTTTGCTTTGCTTTGTTTTCATCATTTGCTTTGCTTCTCCCTTCCTTGTACTGAATGTGTTGCGTTGAATGACTGAAAATAGTTACCGTAGTTGCATGGTGAATACGAGTGATTGGATTTTGTATCAACATCTTTTAGCATATCTTGTATATAATAAAAATCATAATTTATTATTTATACCCCGCCCATCTGGCTGCGTTTCCCCAGCCACTCTGGGCGGCTTCCAACCGAATATTAAAAACAATACAGCATCAGACATTAAAAACTTCCCTAAACAGGGCCGCCTTCAGATGTCTTCTAAAAGTAAAATAGTTGTTTATTGCCTTGACATCTGCTGGGAGGACGTTCCACGGGGCAGGCGCCACTACCGAGAAGGCCCTCTGCCTGGTTCCCTGTAACCTCACTTCTCGCAGTGAGGGAACCACCAGAAGGCCCTCGGAGCTGGACCTCAGTGTCCGGGCAAAACGATGGGGGTGGAGACGCTCCTTCAGGTATACAGGACCGAGGCTGTTTAGGGCTTTAAAGGTCAGCACCAACACTTTGAATTGTGTTCAGAAACGTACTGTATGTCCAAATTATGCATTACACCAACTAAACATTCAATATCGCTGGTACCTTTGCTAGTGCATATTTAACAACAACAACACCATATTATGTTATTGTTTTATTATTTTGCTTTATTGTTTTATTTAGTTTCCCCAGGCACTCTGTGTGGCTTCCAGCACATATAAAAACATAATAACACTTCAAACATCAAAAGCCTCCCAATACAGGGCTGCCTTCAGATGTCTTCTAAAGGTTGTATAGTTCTTTATTTCCTTGACATCTGAAGGGAGGGTGTTCCACAGGGTGAGTGCCACTGCCGAGAAGGCCCTCTTGCCTGGTTCCCTGTAACTGCAACTGCATTTGAAATCCTGAAAATTATACTAGGAATGATACGCAGCACAATAGCATGTATCACTTTGTTCTATTTATGATTTCTTTGAGTGTCAAATAGTTCCCATAAAAATCCTTTTTGATAGTATCTGTCAGCCAGGTTCAATGGAAATGTGTTAAGATTCTTTAGGCTTGGCAATGTTGTCCCGGACTATCTCTTATTTTGAACTTTGACTTAGCATCTTTGACTGAGCATCTTGCACTTGAGACTCTGTTCTATACTTAACACTTTGCTAAGCCAGAGCAACTCTTTGAACATTGGTATGGATGGATCTATTATATTGCATCTTTTATACCTTAGCAGCGAAACAGAACAATGTTTATACCCCAGGCATGAGCAGAAAGCCCTTGTGTGATGCAGCTCTTTCAGATTTGCAAGAATAATATGGCTATGTAGAGTTAGATCTACTGCTCTTTATCCCTAATATCGTTCAGTTCATATGAGATGTTTAATAGGTTCGAAAACTTATTTCTTCCTGAGCAAGAACAACTAGCTAGAAGTACAAGTTCTTTTGATGGCTCTCTGGGAAAGAAACCCACCCCCTGCTTTCAAACAAATTTGAGGATTTAAAAAAAAACAAATGTTGTTCTAATAGAGGCAAATAATTGATTTTTATACTTTGCCTGCCTTGCAGGTTTTCCAGATTCATTTTCTACCGGGCCATGTTTTGTGTGAACAATGCTGCAACTGAGTATGACTAACCTTTTCCCTAAGAAAATGAGAAAAACGAGATGTTTTACATTTTTGAAACAGGGCTACTAATGCATGAAAAATGCCTCCAGAGATTTTGCACAGAGACAATTTAAGAACAATTGTGTGTGTAGGTAAGGTGTTAGCATCCTGCATATGTAACTTCCATTATTCAAATTCATAAAAGGAAATTTTGCTGTATAGCTTTGTGAATACATTATCCATATTTTCCAAAACAAAAATACCTAGGGTTTAACTTGGAAAGCCAACAAGAAAAATCAACCAACAACGTATCTTGCTGCAGTTTTCAGGGCAGAGAGAAGGAAGCAGTGTGGACCCCCAAGGATATGTATTGGGAATGATCTCAGCAGCCAATTCTGCAGATGATACCAACTTGTTCAGGGTGGTAATATTCAAAGCAGACTGTAAAGAACACTAGAAGGCTTTCTTTGACCAAGGTGGACAGGTCCGTCGATGAGCATTACCCAATATAGCTAAATGGAACCGCCAGATTCAAAGGCAGTATATCTCAGAATACCATTTGCCGGACACCGTGGAAAACAGGATGGTGTACAGATAGACCTTTGAATCTGATTCGGCAGGGCTCTTACGTTTTCAGGCCAACACGAAAAGGAAGTTACCCTTTTGCAGCAGATTCTGGCTAACGGTTGCATGCTTCGGATTTTGCATGACTCGGTGACAGCTGAAATTACTAACCACACCACAATTTCATTATCAGAGCATGGTGTTCTCAGCATACACATTACGGGAACTTTTGGCAATCTTTCCAAAAAGACTAATCACAATTTCCAATTACTGAATGATGTTTATCTACATGCGTACCAATATTATCGCCAGGAAAAAACCTGAGTAAGCTTTTGTTTGGGCCAGGGAAGCTGGGAAATTAAGGCATTGGAAATTGTGCTTGTGTTTGGTCCTGGAACAAATGAGGATGACATCTCAATATACTTTAAAAGCAAAATGCCTGCAGATGAGGATTAAGGAGTTAAGGGGGGGGGACCTACAAGGAAAAAATGATTATTGGCAAGGAATATGTAGGAAGAGAGTGAACTGGCATTGTGTAAAAGCTCTATAGTGTGCCAGGCATAGGAGGAAGCAAAGGAGATTAGGTGGAGTCATCTAAGAGAACAGGACCTGACAAAGAGATTAAGAGAGCAGCTTGTGACAAAAAGACAAAACTTTTAGATGAATGGCTGTCCCTTTGTACATTTAGTCAGGAATACCCAGGATTTGGTTCATGGTGTGTGTTTTAATCACTTGGGACAGTTCTGTTAAATTCAAGAAGTATGAAAACTTGTCCAGAAAGTCTAACACAGTCATATTTAATTTTCAGAAGAGAAAACTCTTAAAAATCATGATGGGATTAGTTTGAAGGAAGTTGGAAGGGACAGTCAGGAGTCTCAGATATCTTCAGGAAGCTTGGATATTATCAAAGGCTGTGTACACAGTATGTAGGGACGCGGGTGGCACTGTGGTCTAAACCACTGAGCCTCTTGGGCTTGCCAATCAGAAGGTTGGTGGTTTGAATCCCTGTGATGGAGTGAGCTCCCGTTGCTCTGTCCCAGCCCCTGCCAACCTAGCAGTTCAAAAGCACACCAGTGCAAGTAGATAAATAGGTACCACTGCGACAAGGTAAACGGCGTTTCTGTGCACTCTGGTTTTGGTCACTGAGTTCCGTTGTGCCAGAAGTGGTTTAGTCATGCTGGCCACATAATCCAGAAAGCTATTTGTGGACAAACGCCGGCTCCCTTGCCCTGAAAGCTGAGATGAGCGCCACAATCCCATAGTTGCCTTTCTCTGGACGTAACTGTCCACAGGTCCTTTACCTTTTTTTTTTAACACAGTATACATTTAAAGCACATGGCTTAGTCCAAAGAATCCTGGGAACTTTAGTTTACACCTCACAGAGCTATAAATGGCAGCAACTTAAACTACAGTTCCCATGATTTTTTTGAGGGGGCACCATGTGTTTTAAGTGTGTACAGAGCCTTAAACTACTATGATAGAAGCAGAATAATGTTTGTGCCGATTCAGTAGTAAAGAATGGGTTTTCATGGGGGAAGCACCGGGTGAAAGAAAGAAAGAAAGAAAGAAAGAAAGAAAGAAAGAAAGCACTCCAACATGGCACTTGAAAGCACAGACCTTTGGCCTCTGGCTTTCTAGGCACAGATAAGTGTGGCTCCTCCTAGACAGGAAGGAGGATAAGACTTCCTGCCTCACTGGAGCTTTGCTTGAGAAACAAGTTCTATCTGAGCTCTGCTGTGTTTGGTACTTCCAGGTTTGGTCTTCTGGTTTGCCCTCTTCTTCTGATTTCTGTTTGGTCTTCACCCGCTCCAGACTTCAGCTCAGAGCACAGCCAAAAAGCTTCTTGTAAATGGTGGAGGCTTTACCAAAATGAGAAAACTATAAGAGGAGCACAACTCTGTAAAAAGCACAATAATTTGAGGATTATATTGCTTAAAACAAACAGTGCACATTTCTTCAAATGCATTCGAATCAAGAAATTGGCCAGAGAGGCAATTCTAGTGCTAGATGACAAACCTGAGAAAGAATGACTGGGAAATGATAGTGAATCTGCAGAAAAGCTAAATTAATTCCTTGCATCTGTCATCGCTGAAAAGGCTGCTGGAAAGACTATCATGATGGGCCAAGCAATTTTGTACTCCAGTTATATTTGGTCTGAAGATGCACTACCACTGCTTGAGTGGAAAGGCTGCCATATGTGATACACAGGCGGGAGGAGAGAGGAAACAAGTTGTTTGGGAAATCCGAAAATGGAAGAAAAACACTTACAATTGCCAACTGTGGTAGAGGTGATGATGATGCCGACCTATCACACACTGAAGGAACCAATCTGTGGAGATTGAGCTGGAGGCATGTCTGTCACCTTGCAATGCTCCCTCAATGCAAGAGACAAAGAGAACCAGGCAGAGGCAGCAGCCACCATCAAGAGAACTCCATGATCTGGTTTGCCAAAGCCCCTAGGAGTTGGCTCCTGTGTTTGGAAGAATCAGGGCACAGGGTAAGAAGTTAGAAAGGTGTCTTGAATTTTGTATTCTCTGTCCAGAATTTGGAGAATTCTCTGGACCATTATTCTCACTGCGGTTAGAATAAAAACTGAATAATTTCCATGCACTGCTGTCTTCTTTTGGCCTGGAGAACCAGTGTGAACTAGCCACCCCCTGTAAGGTAACAATACCACGCAGGTGGCGCTGTGATCTAAACCACTGCACCACTTATATAAACCAGCCTGGCTGGCCGAGTGAAGAACAAATCTGTTCATATGACAAAAGGGGTTGGTGGGCCATCAGAGAGGGATCCTTTGGCCTGGGGAGACAGATGGCGTCAGGGTAACTGGGTGTGAGGTGCCACAAAAAGGGAGTCTTTTAGTAAGGTGTTATGGGGAGAAGAAATACTAGTATCCATCTTGGGCAGGTTGGCTGCAGCCTGGCTGGGAGAGATGCCTTGGACTCTAGGGTTGCACTGCTGTGGCTTACAAGCCCCTCTTGAAAGGACCATGCTGTAAGAGCTGGACTCCCTCCATGCAGGCTGAAGGTGTAAATAGGTGAAAAAACCACATTTCGTAAAGCTATTACAATCTCTGTCATGTCTCAGTTCTCCAAAGGAACACAGACCCTGGGTGAGTGCTTGGAACCCTCTGGGATCTTACTATTGCTTGGCAGAGAGTGGGGGTGGCACCCAACTTTTGCAACAATACACTCCTGGCACTGGCGTGGAAGATTCGGGTCAAAAGCAAAGGCCACAACTGGAGGAAGTAGATGACGATCACAGTTATCAAGCAGAAGCAGCATTGCCAATGAAAAGAATCCTGCTCCCTAGGTTGGGAAGCCCAGAGGTGAAATGAGTGCGCACTCTCTTCCTCAGCTTTTCAGGGGTGTCGTTCTTACATCTCTTGTGGAAATCCAGAACAAACACCTTCCTCCCCACTTTTGCATAACAGGCTTGACAGCCTTGGTCCTTGGCTGCAGTCCAAGAGCAATTTCCTTGTTTAAAGCCACCTACTTGTAGAGCAAGTGTTTTTCTTTGCTCTCTTTCAGTTCCTTTTTCATTTCTTGATCCCTGGGTGGGTGGCCTGGCTGGCTTGTTGTCCACACCTTCTGCAGCTTGTGGAAGGCTTGTGCAGATGCGCAGCCCAAAGTTCAACTGTAGTCAAAGAGAAAAGGCAGAACCAAGAAGCACGGCAAGAGGCAAAGGAAGTTGCAGAGTCAAGAAATGGCCTAACTACAAAGGGAGTTACCAAGAACAACACCTCTGTCTGGGGAGCTTTACACCTTTTGAGGATTGGAATTCACACAATGGCGGCACCAGGTCCTGGAGGGGACAAGCAACTGGGGAGGGTGTTGGCTTTTGTGCCCAAATTGCAGACTTCCTAGAAGTTTTTGGGCTTTCCATCGTCTGCACCCTACTGTAGGCAGGATGCTGAATTCATCCTTGGCCTGATTCTGCATGGGGTCAGGAAGATGAATGCTACTGAAGAATCACATCCATCTATCCATCATGTGATTTACCATCCTAGTCCACATAGTGACCAGAAGCAGCTATTTACAGAAAAACTGAATTAAGTAGAAATTTGACTCTAGGCCTCAAGTGCATAATAAGTCTGTAAATAGTGTCTGTATTTTTAGGACTGCACATTAAATATTTTAAGCCCTTTAAATATTTATAGGCACGGCTGTTGTATTACTATGTGCCTAGTGATGCAGCAAATTAGTTTTGACCTTTGTTGTTTACAACACAGTGATGCCGATTTGTATTACCATTTGTTACAAACCTGTTTTAGAAATACACATAATAGCACTCCTTGGGTGATCAAAGATCAGGTTGAAGAACTCCCACTCCCAATGGTTGATCATATATTATGAGCGAACAATATTGCTAATGTTCTCCTTTCAAGATGAATCTGCAGGTCACCACATGGACAAACTGGGGAAGAATTGTGAGGATGCTAAGTCCACTGGGAGGCAATTTATTTTGATAAGATATGCCCAGTTAGGCCAAAGGAGAGGAAAGTTATGGGATTTATCATATACTTGAAATGAGGTCAAGAAGAAGAATGGTCTTTCCTGCCTAATGAAACAAGAAGCAGTGGATTTTAGAATTAGGTTGAAATTTTGGATAAACTTTAATGGCTTTGAGTTGGATCCTAACTTTCCTTTCCTGAATGGCAATTCGTATTCATAGAACATGACCGTTCCACGTCATACTTACAGGCTCTGAAGCATCCTGTGCCATTCATAATATGACCTTGGGGATCTTTAAGGAATAGTGTAAGATTAGTGGCTCTAAGTTCTAGTTTCAGAAAGCAAAATGCTAATGGGTCCATAATCCTAGCAGCCACCTTGTCAGTTTACGGGGAGTGGCCCATTAGGCTCTCCTAGGCCTCTGCTGCTGTCATGGAACAAAATACATTGCTCACCAGGCCTAATAATAATAATAATAATAATAATAATAATAATAATAATAATTTATTTATACCTAGCCCATCTGTCTGGCTTTCCCCAACTACACTGGGCGGCTTCCAACCGAATATTAAAAACAATACAGCATCAAACATTAAAAGCTTCCCTCTTCCAACAGTCACCTCTATGACTGACTGAGGGCAGGAAGGAGAGAGCACAAAGTACTCTCCTCTCCACATATCATTCTGATGGGCATTTTGCTAGTTTTTAATAAAGGCGGTCTGATGGCAGTTGCTATTTGGGAAATATAGCCAATATTGAGGAATGAAAATAGAATGCTTCAGGTTGAAGATAGCATGCTTTCTTCATAAATCAATATCTTGGGTTCTTTTGCAATTACTACAATGAAGCTCCAGAGAATACTGTTCATTTTATCACTATGGGAGAGTTATGGCCGGACTGTTTGTTACAGCAAATGAAACATAAGTATAGGTCATAACATATGATCGGTCCAAATGCCATGGAAAACATGTAGCTGTGAGATTTTAAAATAGAAACTTCAACATCTTTAACCTCTTGGCTAGGATTTTCTTTTCTAGAAATATTTGTGGCCGACAGATGCAACTCCCCCCTCCCAATCTGAGGGATTTTCATGGACATTTGACCGATTTCCACCCGGACACTGCTGCAAACTGCAGTATTCCAGATATGTCCGGGAAATTCTGGACATACGCCAACCCAGTTTTTTCCTTGGTCTTTCATTTCTCTTTTTATATCTAGTATTCATGGCACAATTTTCCAGTAGATTATTCAACATTTAAAATACACTACAGTATGCTTTTGCTTTAAAGAAAAATGGTTGCAAACATTGGGACCTTTGTAAATCCATCACACTCAGCCATGATATCCCGATCAGATGTTTCTGAAAAATGGTCAGATTATGAAGTAGACAATTCATGACAAATTTAATAACAATAGGACAGATCTTCTTGATTTCATGATGAATAGAATTTTTACCACTGGCCAGAGGTTGCAACAAATAAGAAAGCCTATCAAGATTTTCTTTTTTCTAGGTCTTCTGCTGAGAAATATTACAGAACGTCCTGTCCTAAGGAGATATGTTCTCCTCCTGATTCTGTCCTTTTCCTTCTGTCAAGCACTTGACTTTCTCATAAATCTGCCATTTGCTTTGTCTTGTTTCTGTTCTCCCTGCTTGCTCATAATGCAAAGTACGGTAAACATAATAAAGGAGAAGAGAGCTTTGAGATATTAGGGCAGGAGTGCAAACCTCAGTCGTAACTCCAGCTTGCTGTGCAAAGCATTCAGATGCAAGAGCTCCACAGCACAAAATGTGGATCTTCGCCTTCTGCTTGTTACCTAATTAGGTACTATCTGTCCAGCGAGGACTCATTATCCAAAGACACAATGGAGCTTTCAATCAGTTGAAGAAAGAAAATGGAAACTTTGGCTTTTAACTGCTTCCATGAACTTACTGAGTTGCTCAGTTGGTAGAGAATGAGATGGTTGTCACCAATGGAAGCAAAGGCTCAGAAAAAACTCAATATGGAGGCCAAATGGCCGAAGTATTGGGAAATTTTGGAACAAGAGGGTGACAGATTAAAACTGCAGAGTTTTGAAAAATTAAAAAACAGAGTACGAGATTGGCTCCATTATTATCAAATAATGGAGGCGTATAATTTGGATAAAAAAATTGGCTTCAGATGGAAAAATCAAAGTTGGAAACAGAATTGTTAGACCCTAAAGTTAAGAATTTGTCAAGAATGTATAACTTGCTGTTGAAATGGAATACTCAAGATGAAATGGTGAAATCTGCTATGATTAAATGGGCACAAGATGTTGGACATAATATTATGATGGCTGACTGGGAACAGTTATGGACCACTGGTATGAAGTTTACGGCATGCAATGCCTTAAAAGAGAATTTAATGAAAATGATTTATAGGTGGTACATAACACCAGTCAAGCTTGCAAAAATCTATCATTTGCCCGATAATAAATGTTGGAAATGTAATGAAACTGACGGTACATTCTTTCACCTTTGGTGGACATGCCCAAAGATTAAGGCATTCTGGGAGATGATCTATAACGAAATGAAAAAGGTATATAAATATACC